AGATCTAAGGATTCTTCAAAGTGCTCATTGCTATGGCTCTGGCTGGTGCTGTGACTTGCTTTGCGAGCGTTGTGATGGTCTTGATCAAACAGGTGAGGGACTCAGAGTTTTTTTCTGGGTGACCGTCAATGACCGTCACGATGATTGAAACTTGACATAGCCGACATCGTAGTTTTCAGGAAGTCAAATTTGTCTGCAACTAAGCCTAACTAAGCGTTTTAGGGAGAGAGCGCGCGAGTGAAGAAAAACCATAGCATGGCGATGCATGGCGGCATGGCCTTGGTTTGACATTTTTGACATGTTTTGACATTTTCAAACGTGTCGCTTTGTGTCGCTTTGTGCTGTATCTCTGGTAACTCCATGGAACTCCAGGAAGAGGGATCGCTTCTTGCCGTGGTGCTTTTAGCTTACATTACTCCAATGCTTCTGGGATGCTGCATCCTGCTGTGCGACTCGGATAGAATAGGTACTGAATCTGATTGAACGAGTTGTCAGACAACTCTGAATCTGTCTGTCAGAGTTGTCAGAGTTGTGTGCTGTGGACTCGTTCCAATCGCCACGACTTGCCACGACTTGCCACGACTTGCCACGACTTTGAGGGTTCCCATGGTTCTATCAGCCTCCCCAGGTCCTGTTTTGAAGAATGACTGAAGTAGATTCCGTTCTTCCTGTAGACCTTTCTTTCTTATCATGCAGAAATTTCACAAACGGCTGTGGATCTGTCAGCTTCATTTTTTTTCCAAATTGGATCATTGCAATCCAATCTAATCTAGCTTGCAAATTGGGTTTCTGAGCTGTTTCTGCAAGATTGAGGGTGTAAATCAAAAGTGGCGCGACACGGCTAAACAAATATCAAACTGAATCAAACTCTGAACGGTCGTTGAATGGTGATCGTCTGTATGTTCTTTGGCTGTGTTTGTGTCATTTTGTTCTCTTGCTACGTGCGCTTCCTTCGTTTGAACCGTACCCGCCTCCGCACAAAAATGGTGTATGGCTATTGGTCTATGGGAAATACCTGCTGTTAAAATATGTTAAAATTGACTAACGTCACCTCCTCTTTTTGTGGAGTCCTTTCTGGCTGTGCTTTATGCGTATTTCAAACTTCTTCACCGTAGTTTGGTGCTTGTCAACATGTTCAAAAGCGCTACGGCCTACACCAACCTACTCTTGCATCAGTAAGTTTTCACACATAGCAAACTTCTTCCCCAATCAGACCAATGTTTGAGCAAACCAGATTTTATGCCGAGGAACATTTATGATCATTTATGATCATTTATGCACATCAATTCTGGCACTGAATGCATATTCGATCATATTCGCGTATTCGTTTTTGGCCAGTTCTTGCAAAAAAAATGCACACCAACTAATGTTTGAGATGTTTGCACATCAAGCATTCCTTACATTCCTTACATTCCTTACATCAGATTTACATCAAATTTTTCATCCACCACATGAAAGTAGGTGTGGATGAAATCTGATTCACAGCCAAGGTAGCATGCTGTGGCCTGAGAAGCTCGACGGAGAAATCGATTTCGAATCGGATATTACCAATCTCCAGAAATCTCCATTTTTTCTACATTTTTCCGGACATTTCTTCAGATACATCAATCTTTATCAATCTTTAGACATCAATCTTGAGTCATTTCTAGTAGATGTTTGATGTTTCTTGTGCTTCTTGATTTTGTCACATCAATCATCAATCGTTTCTGTCCGTATTGCGTTCTTAGGGAAGGGTGTCGAGATGGCTGCCATTGCCAGCATTGCGGGCGATGTGGGCAATGTGGAGTTTCGTATGCTCGGGTGTTGCAGGTAGCTTGGCTGTTGTCTTGACATGTTTGACATGTTTGACATGTTTGACATGTTTGCATTTGAGCTGTAGAAATTCCTTTGTATTGGAACTTGTGTATTAGTGGAAAATGTGGATGTGCTATGATGATTGATGATGTGTTAAGGACGAAAGCCCCAGAGTAATCGGCGCTGGAGTCGAAATGCGAGATGCCAAAGTGGCATGAAAATGGCGTCAGATGCTGCGAGGGCAAAGGTGCAATGATGCGAGATCCACAGAATCCCTAAAGTCTGTAAGGTCCTCAAGGTGTAGTTGAAAAGATATCATATAGTAACACTCAACTAACCGCGCAAATATCAAAGCTCGTTGTTGGTGCCGAATACGCGCCAAATCGAGATTGTATGGGGAAAGGCACGGATGGAAATCGCAAGACATGCTGCATCCTGAACACAATGACATGCCTTTCCGGTGCGACATTGGTGGTGTTGACAACAATGACATAAGGGTGATGAATAGTGATGATTGCGTAATTCTAGTCATTGAGTAATCATTGAATATCCATTGGCGAATCATTTAGAGATGTCAAGAAATCGATGGCAAAAGGCACTACACCACACTACATCCAGCAGTTGTGGTGAGGTGACCACTGCAACCATTGCAGCCACTCCAAAAGACACAACTCCAACCACCTGTCGGTCCATCAGTGGATTCGCTCTGCCATCCGTGATTCACAACAACCAACCCCTCCTATGGGTTTCCTATTTTCGAACTTCTGCCACCGCCTTGTGCGGCACTACTGGTATAGTAGTGGTGTAGTGGTGTAGTAGTTGTAGTAGTAGTGGTAGTGGTGGTTGTAGTTGTGGTGTAGTGTTTTGGTGGTTGTAGTTGTAGTTGTAGTCGCTTATTTATCTATCTACCTATCTATCTATGTATCTACTTATCTATCTACCTATCTATCTATCTATCCATCTATCTACCTATCTATCTATCTATCTATCTATCCATCCATCCATCTATCTATCTATCTATCTATCTATCTATCTGCAAGATTGAAAACGCAGCAATTCTGCGAGACCTCCACAATTTTTGAACTTGACAACGTCAAAAACGAAACAAAACTGCGAGACTTTCTCAATTTTTGAACTTGACAACGTCAAAAACGAAGAAATTCTGCGAGACGTCCTTCAAAAATTTGAAAGTTGAGTGCAGAGCTGACGGCCTCGTACCACTGCGTTTTGCGATTTTTCCACTCCATCTGTCTAAACGAATGCGCCTGCCAGGAAAAAGTGATGCCAGGTCATATGAAGTGCTGCACCTGTCATGCAAAATCATCTCAGCAAACCTGAAGATCTGATGCTCCAAAATGCAACCCCTCTCAGGAAATCAGCGCCCGGACCTCCTAACAGCTCTCGTGAACATGTCTCTTGTACTGCGCCTGCCACGGAAAATGCATCTTTGCAGATCCTCTTCAAATGTCCCACGCCTGCCATCGTTTTTGGAAATGCCACAAAACCCTCACGCTTTGCTCAGTTTCAACGCGGTGCACCATCCCTTGCGCCTGCCACGCGAGACGACACTTCAAAGTCCAAAAGTGCGAACATGTGGTGTTTTTAACGTTTTGACTTTGAAATGCGCTTTGCGCCACAACGGCGTGCACTTTTTCGACATCTCAACTTCCAAAAGTGGCCCGAACCTGGTGTGTTTTGTACATTTTGACTTCGAAATGCACTTCGCGCCACAACGGCGTGCTCCGAACGTGACGGCGCGCAATTTTTCATCAATCATCTGGCCACATGGCTCCGCACCGCCGCTCGACCCTCCGGAGCCACAAATCATTGGAAAAACATAGTGTTTCGCGACTTTCCTACCTTTTCGCGCACTTGGATCTTCTTCCTTCTGAGACTTTCTCTTTTTTGATCTTCTTTCTTCTTCTCTTCTCTTCTCTTTTTGATCTTCTTTCTTTTTCTCTTCTCTTCTCTGACTCTTCCCATCTCTGCTTTTCATCTGACCATGCTGTCGGAAGTTTGACTTCTAGACTTCCTTCGACGACTGAAATTTTGTATAGATTGTGTGCAGCCAACGTGATGCCACATGATTGCAGGGAAAAACAATGTTTGTCGGAACCTGTCACCATGACGCAGGAGAAACATTCATCAAGGCAGGGCATATTGCCGTGTGATATCCCAAGTGTTGATCGCATGATGAACTTCCATTTCTTGGACTAATTTGAGTTAAGAGATCTTTTTGTTTGTGATACATTTCGCCAAGTGGAGATCTTGCCTTCCAAAACAACAACAACTTTTGTTGAGCTTCAGAGCAGATTCCAGCAAAAAACAATCAGGGACAATCACAATGTTTTGGCACCGTGAGTGGAACAAAGTGAGTAAAACATAGTAAAGGCAGTGTGGCAACGTATGGGGTGCTTATGTGAGACAAACATTCACCTTATTTGGTCTCCGCCGTCTCCGCCTTCTCCTTTACTTCCAAGGCCAACAACTGGACATGGATGGGCGTTATAGACCCAACCACCTTCATGGACCTTCAACGTGATCCTCCATCAGTACAGATCTGTACTGGCAAAGATAATTTTTTCTTGTGGGCTTTTGCACAGTTTTGCAAAGGTGCCCCATATCTTGGTTTTCTCCTCTACTGGGAGGTGTTTGTTGGTGCTAATCACTGTTAATGATTCTTAATGCAAAGTGCTGTCGTCCAAAGATTGACACTTCATCGCGGGAGCTGGAAATGAGCTCCAAAGATTGGCACATGGCATGAAAACTCGCCAAAATGAGCAGTTGCAGATTTTGGCGGGATATCTTGGACTGAAACGAACCCACTTTCGTCAAACTTCATGATGTGATTTAGACATGTTTAAAGACATTTAACTGAAAATATATGTATGTATATATATATATTATATGTACTCTGCAATTTCATTGACTAGATGCGGTCTACAGTGCATTGCAACTGGATCTGTGTTGAATGATCTGCTGTCGTTTCGGATGCTCCAAGCAGCTAGGTGCTTTGTATGAACACAAAGATACAGTTTTCATATTATTCAGAAGAATTTCTGAATTCTACGTTACTATCTTCACGGCAGTTCGATTAGGCACCATCCATATGATACACTGATACGGATTCTGACAATCCTTGGTGTGTGACGTCGCAGATTCAGACCATTTCACAGTAAGATGTTGCAAACCAAGTGGCGCTGACAGTCGATGCTGACCCTGTGCGGGCACCGCGGCTCGCTGATGAACGAGTTGCTTTCGGCCGCGCTTTCAGGGCTTTCAGCAAGCTCGAGGTAGAAGTGTTGAGAATCTGTGAGAAAGTGTAAAGAAAGTGTAAAGAAAGTGTAAAGAAAGTGTAAAAGTTAGAAGTGGTAGGAGGTAGTTCCGTGGTCTCGCCAGATCTTGCCAATGTCGGTGAAGTTGGCCTTGGCACCCTGGGTCGCATTCGGGGGTGCCAATGCAATATGCTGCAGCCTGGTCGTTGCAGCCACACAGGTGCCTTGGTGAAGTCGTCTGTGAACTATTGCCGAGTGTCAAAGACTTCACTTTTCCATATTTTTTCTATCTTTTTCAAAATCTTTTCAAAGTCATAGAAGTCATATGAAGTCAATATGTTCAATTTTTCTAATTCTCAATTTTTGGTGAGGTGTTAGTTCCGGAAGCAGTCACTGGCAATATTAGCAAGTCATATGTCATAGTTGTCATAGTTGTCACAGTTGTCATAGCATGAAATTCATATGTTCTCATATGTGATATGATTTATATGTGAAGCCTAGACTCCTCATTTATCATCGCACCGCCTTTTACCTAGATCAAAAACCCACAACTTTGACACACTGAGACACACACACACACACAAACACACTGCCGTGTTGTGCCAACGAGTGGCACGAGATGACTATCTACGGTAGCGTAGCGGCGTAGATCTCCAGGTGAGTTGGCAACTGGGCTTCTCATTGACCGCAGCATACTGTATGGCTTCGCTGGGCCTTGCAGTGAACCTGGAAAGCCAGAGGCCGGTGACGACTCAAAACTAGGATGAGTATGATGAGCCAAGGCATTCAGAATTCATATGAATTCATGAAGAATTCACATGGATTCACAAAAGAAGTCAATGCTTTATCAATATTTTCCACGTCATGCGTCCATTGTCTATGCGTCCATGACGTGCCATGTGTCCATGCATCGCTTCAAATCCTGTTGTGACTTTGACAGCTTTGACAGGTGGCAACACGGACTTCGCAGTTGGCTCTGGATCTTGGTGCTAGACTCAGACTCTGCTAGACTCTCCTAGACTCTCCTAGACCTAAGATTCCTAAGATTCCCACAATCTGGGTTTGACTGGTGGATAAGATATTTTGATCAATATTTTGTCCTTGCTTGCCTTCATTTTCCATCCCTTTTTCCTCCCTTGATCTCCCCTTTCTATATCTTTCTATGTCTTATGTCCGCCCTGGTGAGTCTTGTGCCCTGGTCTCCGGGGTCTCCGGCAGTGTTGGCAGTGTCACCTGGTGTGACCAGGTCTGTTGTCAGGTGGGCTGCGTCGGTACGTGGTGTCCAACTCAGGAGATTGGAACAGCTGAACGAATCCTAGCAGTCATAGCCATGATGTTCTCGTCAGATTTCATGAGATGTCATCAGATTTAGAACGCATTTTCTGGGACTTTGAGACATCGCAAGGTTCAGCATGAACGTGATAGCTCCTTGGAATTTCTCCATGGAGGCTGAGAAGGGTCACGGCCAAAAGGCAATGCCGAATGTAGCCAAAGTATTCGGAAGTTGTGTCAGCAACAGTCGGACTCGTCAAATTTGTCAAAATTGTAATCCAAATATCCAAAACTAAGTCTGTTTTGTGTAACGTAAAATGATTAATGTATAATATATTATATTCATGTAAAATACATTTTGTTTTGAGAGGTCCCTGCGCACGATTCGCTGGATACGCTGGGCCTCGGTCACATTGCAACAAACCCAGGCCACGATTTGCCCTTCGAGATGAAACAAAATCATAGGAATTCACAGGATATCTCAAAATATTCGTACATTGAAAATCATTGAAACATTTTGCTCATTTTTGGACTATGAACTATGTTGAACTGGTGCTGCGTCATTGTCGAATATGTCAAGGAGATTGGGTTCCTAGGTCCACGGTCAACATCTCTACTTCTCGCAGACCAATGCGTCTGGAAGGAGCGACGGTGCAGAGAGGATGGAACGCAGCGCTGCAAGGTCCAGATAAAAACACACTTTTTAGTGCAGCTTCTTGGGGACGATGGAAAGAATAACTTGATTTGCCATGATTGCCATTAAATCATTTGCATCCATTTGCATCCATTTGCATCCATTTGCATTTGCTGCATGCATAGCTTTGCACGGCATTTGCTCTCTGTCTCTCTCTGTCTCTAGGATACTCATGCGTGCAAACCACGGATCCGTTGACTATGTCCCTCCAGGAGCGGTTATCACCTGGTTCTTGTGCAGAAGTTTGCAGCAATTACATATAGAGGTTTCCTAAAATGGGACCCCCAAATCATCCAAAATTAGACCATTTTAGTATTTAAACCTATGGTTTTGGGGATCCACCATTTTAGGAAACCTCCATATTGACATATTATGAAATATTCTTAAACTTGACGACATATTAAATGAGATATTATGAAGCATGTCAATATGTCAATATGTCAATAGTCTCACAGAACCTTGGAATACCTATCCGATAGGTAGCGTCCATGGACAGGTGTTATGGATGCTCATTCCTTCATCGAGCACAATGGCGATCTCTTTTTCATTGGTCGAGTTACTCGACCGAAAAACTTGGAGATGGCCCAATGGCCCAATGGCCCAATGGCCCAATGGATGTGGACCAAGGGAAGCTTGTAAAATAACAACACATCTTATGCTTGTTGATGTAAAGGCTGCTTGGTGTAAACACTGGTTTCGGTAAAAGCTGGTTGGCGGAAGGTGTAACATTTAGTTTGTGTTAAAGTTACTTGGTGTCAAAACTCGTCAGTGTAAAACTATGTAAAGCTAGGTTTTGTATAGGCTAGTTGATGTAAAAGCTTGTGCGTGTGTAAAATGTTGTAAAATGCTAGATGACTAGATGGTTTAAAAGCCAGTTTGTATGCAAGGTATAGCTGGTGTAAGAAAATAACATGTGTAACAACTAGTTCGTGTAACAACTGGTTTCTGTAAAAGTTCGCTTGTAAAAAAGCGAGTTTAGTGCAGCAGGTGTAACGCTTTGACCGGCAAATTATGAGCTGTTTGCAGCATCCCAGGGGCCAGAGCAAAGACATCTGTCGAGGAGCAGGTCTCAGGTGTAGGTTATAGCCTATAGCTATAGGTACAGCTAGACTTCAACCTAGAGCTGGAACAAGATCAAGCTATTGCTGTTGCTAGGTGGAGAACTCGAATTCAAACTAGAAATACTAGAACAACGTTAAGCTATAGCTATATATATATATATATCTATAGTTGAAACTAGAACTCAATCTCAACTAGAACAAGCTAAAGTTAGGGAATTATTTATAGTAGAAGCTGAAGAAGTTAAAGTGATAACACAAGCTAAGCCAAGAGATAATGTAGAACTGGGACTCAACCGAAGGTGTACCAAGCGAGAGCAACGCCAGCAAAGCAAAAATCCGCGCAGGAGGAGATCTAAAGCTGAAGCATGGCCACTACAAGGTTTTGTAACAAGAACATCCACAAAACACCCGGCAGGGTGGCGGGTTTCGATTCATGAAGCGCGCAGATATCAATGACATTCAATGACATGTACGTGACATTTACTTGCCAATTGCAGAAATGGATAGAAATGGAACTTTATGGAACATGGAACTTGGAACATTTTATTCTTAAGTTCCTGATAATTTCTGATAGTTTCCGTTCCATTTCTGCTCCCAGTTTGTCGAGGTGCTGGAAGGAGGCGCAGGTGAATGCCTCTGGGGAATGAGAGGTGCACCTGGCGACTTCGTGAAACATGCCTTTGCAGTTTGCTGGAAACAAGTCACATGTGAAACATTTGAAAGGAAATTCAGGTAGGTATGTGATGTACGTGGCATGTGGCAGTTGCCTTTTGCACACGAGCCGCAAAACTCCGGCAATAGGAAATACGCAAGGGGCAGAGATTGGTTTTCAGAAATTGTAACATGGGGCAAGCGATGGGATCCCAAATGGGATCCCAAATTTCTTGTCTTTGTGAACCAACAGAGTTTGTTTCTCGATATGCCGAGATATTCTGAGACTGAGTCAAGTATTGCGATGTATATTGCGATGTATTGAGATCGCTGAGATGTGTCGTTTCTGTGGAGGCGACGGCGGAGATGCCATCCTTCTCCAAGCGTTTCAGCCCGGCTTCCAGCTGAGGCAGAAACAACGGAAGCAACGACTTCAGTGAAGACTCAAGACCTGTCAATGTCTTTTTCAGACTTTTGGACCAAACTTTTAAGATATGAAATGAAAAAAACATGTTCAGACTTTGAAAAAAAATGTTTTAAGATGATGAAAGTTTTAAGATGACACGCTTTAAGAAATTCGAAGTGATGCGCATTGTGATGTGGCCAATATGTGGCGCACAGGCACCTCAGGAGAAATGAGAGCCTGGGTGCCGTTTTCTTCCAGGTTCGAGTCTCAAGACTTGTCCAAGTTGTCCAATGAGTCCCTCGTTGCGACTGAAGTCATATCACTGAGCTCGTTTGCTCCTCGTTTGCTCGCCTTCTCAGGCGGTTGGTTTGTGCGGCTGGTTTCGCAGCATCACAGAGTTCAGAAGCAACGGAACTGTCGAAGGAACAGAACCGAACTCTGAAGGAATCGAAGGAACCGGAGGTGCTCGGTGAAGCGGTGAAGCGGTGAAGCGGTGAAGCGGTTCCGCATGGTGCCGCAGTGCACTTTCGATGCGTAAGTTGTTGCAGGTGACTTTCCAGGGCTGGTGGATTTGTGCTTGAAGCTCGCTTCTGGAATGGAGTGGAGGACTGGATTACCCAAGCTTTCACACAATTTGACAAAAAATTGACAAAATTGACAAAAAATCTTCACTTGGTAAGAATATGTCAGAACCTTGTCACAGGCCTCCCACTGGCCGACTTCTGTCGATCCTTCTGCTTGGGATTCTTCCGCAGACAGGTGCCAGAGATTGCCAGGGCTTGCCGGGCTTGCCCTCGTGGAAATGCCCCCAGAGAATCCGACATAAGCAAAGTCATAAGCATGCATAAAGCATCATAAAGCATACATAACTTATGATATAAGCCAACATAGTGCAACAGTTCAATCCAAAGCGAAAGGACTAAGCCACACTTGGACGAAGCTTGGAAGATCTTTGCTCTCATGTCATTCTAGAGTTCGAAATGCTTAGCTCAGTTCTTAGAAACCATACTTTTAAGAAGTCAAAGCCTGCCCAAACATTTGACTGAAAGCTTTGAAAGACACTCTGGAACATGCCACAGCTGGCAGGCCTTGCGACTTACTTGCTCATTTGGAAGAAGGCACCAATTTGCTCCTTGAAATCCACAGCGCATTTGTTTTGCCATCGTACTATTGATGTATTTGATGTACTGTTCTAACGCTCAAATCCCGCGTATCTTCCACAGCTGTTTCGGAGTGTAAGATAATGTTTTATTTCATGAGGGAGCGACATTTTTTAGTCTGAACTTGCAATCCGAATGCATCCCCGTTAATTTCATTCGCAATCCAGAAGAAGAAGGAGAAGAAGAAGAAGATGAAGAAGAAGATGAAGAAGAAGGAGAAGAAGAAGGAAAAAGAGAAGAAGACAGAATAAGAAGAAGTTTGCTGAAGCCCCAGAAACCAATTGTCCGAGACAATTTCCGCGCACGACGAATTTCCTCACAACTGTTGGCGTCTTTGACCTTCCTTGATTTCTACCGCACAGGTTTTGTGATGTTTTACCTGCAGCATAGCAGCATAGTCTGAAAACCGTCGAAGGATTTGCTATGGAATCCTGCAGGTACCGGGTGTCTTTTTGAACGTCTTCGTGGGAGCTTATGCAGCGACCTTCATCCTGTGGATATTGTATCTCAGCTGATCAGCAGCTGATCTCAGCTGATCTCAGCTGATCTCAGCTCCCTTACAATGCCATAGTCTCTCATCCAAGTGCATACTTACCGTGTTTGTAGATGTTCAACTTTGAGAGTAGCGGTTGGTTGCAGTGAGAAAATTGAGGATGAAGGGTATGGCGGTCAACCTTCTCCTGTTCTTGCAGGCCCGGGAAAAGGCTTCAAACAACGAGACATCGCAGATCATGGCATCGTAGATCATCAGTCATAATACTCTGAATGCACTTTGTCTTTTGCAGCATCTTTTGTCTGTCTTTATGTGTCTTTATCGGTGTTTATGTGACTTCATGTGTCTTTTGGTGGGTCTCTTGATATGTCTTTTCAGCAGCATCAGGCGTCCACCATGACCTATGCGACGACGGCCTGCGTGGCCGTAGCTCTGAATCAGGTGTGCGCTGGATGATAAAGCTTTGGATGTATAACGAGATCATCAAGCAGGTCCTAAACAGGTTTTCTCGCTCAAAAAAGCTTGACCTGTGTGAAAACCACTTTACCAGTCGTGACCTGCTGTTGAATACATGTTGGCATGGAACTTCATTGGACACATTCATTTGCCCAGCAGTTTTTTACCTGAGATCCGCCATCTGCCGATGCCTCAAGCGAGCGCAAAACCAATACAACTACAACTACAACTACAACTACAACCACAACACTACTACTACTACTACTACGACTACTACTACGACTACTACTACTACGACTACTACTACGACCACCACCACCACCACCACCAAATGTACGGGTGCCATTAGTAAACCCATCATGAAGAAAGTCCGCCTATTCCGGAAAATTATCAATAAACCCGCCTATAAATAAAGTACGCCAACCAATTTTTGAGTTGTTTTTTTTTCCGTTTTTTGTAACGGTTTTTTCGGTTTTCGTCAGGAGACTTAGGGGGTCAGTCTCCCAAAATTTGATTTCGGACCTCGTTCGCACCTCGTTCAGACCTCGTTAAAATTGCAGCCAGCCAAAACCCTGCCCGGAGAGGTTTTGGCAAGGCTTTGCAATGGTCTGCTGCTTGGTCATCGCTTACCATCGCTTACCATCGCTTACCATCGCTTACTATCGCTTGCCAACGCTTCTGGAGCCTGGCAGCTTAGCGATACTTGAAGGGATGCTTAGGCGATACTTAGAGGCGCGTAACCAGCGCGCGTAACCAGCGCGTTTTGTTCTGGGTAGGATGGGTTGGGTTGGTCGGATGGGTCGGCAGGTGCTGTGGAGCAACGTGTCCAGAAATGCATCCTTCGTCGAGGAGGGGAAATTGGCAGATTGCAGTGGCTGGTTCATTTGAATCATGAGAGCTGAAGATAGCTGAAGTGAATATGGAGGATGAAAAGCAAAGAAAACAAAATGCGTGAGATGTCACTTGACAGTACCTGAATGGTTATTTCACTGGAAACTGTGCATTGCGCAGAATTCGTTGAATTCGACTCAATCAATTTCATTGAGCTGAGTGCCTGTATTTGAGCCGAAATTAAAGTTGCCATAAAAACAAAAACAACATATGTTTCTAGTGTGTTTTTTTTGAGCCGATTTTAGGAGTCGATTTTGAGTCGATTTTCGAGGAACTGGGCACCTGGGCCTCCAGCATCAGCTGCATTAGCTTCTTCGGTGCAGTGCATCTGGTGCGGACGACATTGGGCATTGCACTGCAGATTTTGACATTGTGTTTCACTGTTTCACATCTTTGGAAAGAGACACAAAGAGGAGCCCACAGGAAACAAGCAGGATAAATTCGGCATTGTCATAAACTTGGAAGATTCTTGGCATAAACGTGCATAAACAAGTAAACACACAACACTTTGTTCAAACACGTCAAAAACATCAAAAAACACTAAAAAAACATGAAAACTTCTCTGGCCCTGGCTGGAGATCTGTGGAAATTTACTGTGGAAAGTTGTAGCGAGGGAAATGAATGGAGAGATGTGCCTTTTGTATCCCTTTGTGAATGAATCTGTGTTGCTTTCAGTTGCTGTTTTGTCGGCTTTCTATTGCATCTGTGCTCTGGCGATTTGCAGCAAAACTGTGCAGGCGTTGAATATTCCTTCCTCGGAGGGATGGGCTTGGCCTCTCTATGGAATCCTCATCCTTCCACAGATTGTGCCTTGGACAATGCTGAGACAAGATGCAAATCTGCGTCATGCATCGTGTGAAAAGTGTGTTGCTGACTCCGATTTTGACTGTGCATCAGCTCTGAGGCTTTTGCACTTCTCATGCGCAGGACGACACCCATGGCGTCGGCGTTCCAAGAGCGCTCCAAGGGCAAAAACTGAAAGAAGACGTGTTTAAAAGCAGATAAGACAGAAAATTCAGGGATTTTGAAAATATGGCAAGGTAAAAGCATCAAGCAATGAGAAAGCATCCGAGGCTCTTCATCGCTGGAGCGCTGGTGTTGCTCTATAAGGTGCTAATATCTTACTAATTTAAGGGCTGCCGCCCCTGCCGCCGACCCCGGAAAAATTGGACCTCGATTTTTTGATTCTCCACCTTGTTTCTTTGACCCCCCACCTTGCCTTTTCGAGGCGCTTGCTACAATAGTATGGATATTATATATATATATGTATATATATATGGGCCCTATTATTATACATAGAAAGAGGAAAAGGCCGGGTGGTCACTTTGGAAGAAGATTTGGTGGACCGGGCGTGGTAAACCGGCTGGATTGATAGCTTGCTTACAGGTACGCAGGACCCCCTTCCGTTATATGTTGATTTATAATCCCATCTGACTATAGATGTATCCACCATAACTCCAAGTTATTTGGTAACCAAATGGCAAATCGTTTGGGGGCCACCGGGGATATCTATGGATATCTCGTATTTGTATACAATACAGTATGTATAGTTTTGTACATATCATATGATATATCATACATCTCACTATGATTAGATATAATATTCACATATATATATATAGTACACTCATTCTATATTAACGTATACTCACGTGAAATCAAATGAAGACATATAGAGAGCACCCAACATAGATAGCCGATATTGAATTATCACTATTCTAGTAGGATTATTGTCAAAAAACATATCTTTTTTGGCATTGCTAAAATATACCCTCGGGTAAACGAACACAGGGCTTCCATAGAAACATGTCATGAAATCCAATGAAATCAGCTTTTTTTGTTGGGAAAATCCCATATCAACCCTATCCAAAATCCGATTACTTCCACTAAAATCACCATGCGATCTGATTGAATCATGAAATCATATCTGGTTGGTGGTTTGGAACGTTTTTTTATTTTTCCATAGATTGGGAATAATAACCCCAACTGACTTACTCATATTTTTCAGAGGGGTAGGTATACCACCAGCCAGATATGAAACAACATGAATGTCCATTGAATCCCACACTTTCCATCCAAAGCCACTGGTGGAGTCCTTTTTGTGGATGAAGCCTATTCTCTGAAGAAGGCTCGGTTTTCATGGGCCGGGGATGGGCTAAGTCACAGGTTCTAGGTAAACAAGAGAAATCATCCCTAAATGGTCGCAAGATTCAGGTTAGCGAAACATGATAATTTACTTATATAGATCTATAGAGATTGTTTGGTAGCGTTTTGGAGGAATGGTCATTTGCAGTATGACATCATCCGTTTTGTCAGGAAATGGAGTCATATGGAGTATACTGGCACAGGTATACCCCCAAATCCAAATGGTTATTTTACATGGGGAAGGTGATGATACACCTGTGTCTATATTGTTATTTTCCCCAATAGTTGGGATGATGATCCAATCTGATAAATATGTTTCAGGGGGGTTGAAACCACCAACCAGATTAAAAATGGACATTACTGCTGTGGTAAATGGGATTGATTTCGCCAGTATCCGAATTGATAGATAATTCAACAGTTTGCGAAGTGGAAAATCACAATGATAGGGAAATCATTGAACTAAATCATTGAACTCAATGGGCCAAAAAAAAATCCATATCTATGGTAAAAATTACTGGTTGGATCGGATTGAAACCACCAATCAGGGATACGGTGGCTGAACATTCGCTGCAGTAGAATGTGACAATGTTGCTAGGAAACTGAATGACAAGAAACTGATCAACAACGGGATGTGGATGACTACATACCCTATTTTGTAACATCTTGTCACCCTGAATAGGGAAATTGTTTAGATTTGAACCCTAAAAAAGCTTAACCAGTAAACATTGGTTGAAACATTGTGTCAAAGAATAGGCGGGAAGCCAGTCAAGTCAAACTGGTGAGGTAGACGTGTCTAATCTTTTGGTAGGTTGGTAGTGTAGCTTGAGATGCCCTTTCTTCACAATGCATTTTTGGGGGCATGGTTTAACTGTCCAATCGTCGGCGGCACCTCCCGGCACCAAAACAGCAGGGCACGGAAGGACGAACAGGCCACAGAATCGCACCGAAAAACTCTCTAACGTGACTTCTGGAATCCTACTAGAACTGAAGACCTGAGGGAACTGATGAAGGATACTAGACGGCTGCTGCCGTTGCTGCTGCTGCTGCTGGTGCTACCGCTGACAGAAGTGTATCAAAAGCACCTCCCGGCACCAAAACAGCAAGGCACGGAAGGACGAACAGGCTACAGAATCGCACCGAAAAACTCTCTAACGTGACATCTGGAATCCTACTAGAACTGAAGACCTGAGGGAACTGATGAAGGAGACTAGAAGGCTGCTGCCATTGCCGCTGCTGCTGCTGCTGGACTTGCTGCTGCCGATGCTCCTGCTGCTGCTGCTGGCGCTGCTGCTGCCGCTGCTACTGCTGACAGAAGTATACCAAAAGCACCTCCCGGCAACAAAACAGCAGGGCACGGAAGGACGAACAGGCCACAGAATCGCACCGAAAAACTCTCTAACGTGACTTCTGGAATCCTACTAGAACTGAAGACCTGAGGGAACTGATGAAGGAGACTAGAAGGCTGCTGCCGTTGCCGCTGCTACTGCTGCTGCTGCTGGACTTGCTACTGCCGCTGCTATTGCCACTGCCGCTGCTCTTACTGCTGCTGCTGCTGACAGAAGTGTACCAAAAGCACCTCCCGGCACCAAAACAGCAGGGCACGGAAGGACGAACGGGCCACAGGATCGCACCAAAAAACTCTCTAACGTGACTTCTGGAATCCTACTAGAACTGAAGTGAAGACTTGAGGGAACTGATGAAGGATACTAGAAGGCTGCTGCCGTTGCCGCTGCTGCGGACTTGCTACTGCTGCTGCTGCTGGTGCTGCCGCTAACAGAAGTGTACCAAAAGCACCTCCCGGCACCAAAACAGCAAGGCACGGAAGGACGACCAGGCCACAGAATCGCACCCAAAAACACCTAATTTCGTACCGGAAATGACGCCGAATCGCATTAAAAAAGTCCCTAACGTCCCTTCTGAAATCCTAACTTCTGGAATCCTACTAGAACTGAAGACCTGAGGGAACTGATGAAGGAGACTAGAAGGCTGCTGCCGTTGCCGCTGCTACTGCTGCTGCTGCTGGACTTGCAGCTGCCGCTGCTACTGCCACTGCCGCTGCTCTTACTGCTGCTGCTGCTGCTGTTCTTACTGCTGCTGCTGACAGAAATATACCAAAAGCTGCTGCTGCTGCTGACAGAAGTGTATCAAAAGCACCTCCCGGCACCAAAACAGCAAGGCACGGAAGGACGAACAGGCTACAGAATCGCACCGAAAAACTCTCTAACGTGACTTCTGGAATCCTACTAGAACTGAAGACATGAGGGAACTGATGGATACTAGGCTGCTGCCGTTGCCGCTACTGCTGCTGCTGGACGTGCTGCTGCCGTTGCTCCTGCTGCTGCTGCTGCTGCTGTTGCTGCTGCTGCTGCTGCTGACAGAAGTGTACCAAAAGCACCTCCCGGCACCAAACCAGCAAGGCACGGAAGGACGAACCGGCTACAGAATCGCACCGAAAAACTCTCTAACGTGACTTCTGGAATCCTACTAGAACTGAAGACCTGAGGGAACTGATGAAGGACTGATGAAGGATACTAGAAGGCTGCTGCTGCTGCTGGACTTGCTGCTGCCGATGCTCCTGCTGCTGCTGCTGGCACTGCTGCTGCCGCTGCTACTGCTGACAGAAGTGTACCAAAAGCACCTCCCGGCACCAAAACAGCAGGGCACGGAAGGACGAACAGGCCACAGAATCGCACCGAAAAACTCTCTAACGTGACTTCTGGAATCCTACTAGAACTGAAGACCTGAGGGAACTGATGAAGGAGACTAGAAGGCTGCTGCCGTTGCCGCTGCTACTGCTGCTGCTGCTGGACTTGCTACTGCCGCTGCTACTGCCACTGCCGCTGCTCTTACTGCTGCTGCTGCTGACAGAAGTGTACCAAAAGCACCTCCCGGCACCAAAACAGCAGGGCACGGAAGGACGAACAGGCTACAGAATCGCACCGAAAAACTCTCTAACGTGACTTCTGGAATCCTACTAGAACTGAAGACCTGAGGGAACTGATGAAGGATACTAGACGGCTGCTGCCGTTGCTGCTGCTGCTGCTGGTGCTGCCGCTGACAAAAGTGTACCAAAAGCACCTCCCGGCACCAAAACAGCAGGGCACGGAAAGACGAACAGGCCACAGAATCGCACCGAAAAACTCTCTAACGTGACTTCTGGAATCCTACTAGAACTGAAGACCTGAGGGAACTGATGGATACTAGGCTGCTGCCGTTACCGCTGCTGCTGCTGCTGGACTTGCTGCTGCCGTTGCTCCTGCTGCTACTGCCACTGCCGCTGCTCTTACTGCTGCTGCTGCTGACAGAAGTGTACCAAAAGCACCTCCCGGCACCAAAACAGCAGGGCACGGAAGGACGAACAGGCCACAGAATCGCACCGAAAAACTCTCTAACGTGACTTCTGGAATCCGACTAGAACTGAAGACCTGAGGGAACTGATGAAGGATACTAGACGGCTGCTGCCGTTGCCTGCTGCTGCTGGTGCTGCCGCTGACAGAAGTGTATCAAAAGCACCTCCCGGCACCAAAACAGCAAGGCACGGAAGGACGAACAGGCTACAGAATCGCACCGAAAAACTCTCTAACGTGACATCTGGAATCCTACTAGAACTGAAGACCTGAGGGAACTGATGGATACTAGGCTGCTGCCACCAAAAAGCACCTCCCGGCACCAAAACAGCAGGGCACGGAAGGACGAACAGGCTACAGAATCGCACCGAAAAACTCTCTAACGTGACTTCTGGAATCCTACTAGAATTGAAGACCTGAGGGAACTAACTGATGAAGGACACTAGAAAGCTGCTGCCGTTGCCACTGCCGCTGCTGCTGGACTTTCTGGAATCCGACTAGAACTGAAGACTTGAGGGAACTGATGAAGGAGACTAGAAGGCTGCTGCCGTTGCCGAGCTCGACTCATGGACACCACTCGAAACGCTGAAACGCCACCTAATTTCATGCCAAAAACGCTCCAAAAGGGACCGGGAAAAGTGCCTAACGTTGCTTCTAAAACCCTAGAAAAAAAGATCTTTTGCCTGCCCTCAAAGCCTAGAAAAAAAGATCTTTTGCCTGCCTTTGTGACAACTGTCTTGTCGCGTCCTGTCGCTTTGACGTCAGCTGCAACAGCTCGACTCATGGACACCACTCGAAACGCTGAAACGCCACCTAATTTCGTGCCCAAAACGCTCCAAAAGTGACCGGGAAAAGTACCTAATGTTGTTTCTGAAACCCTAGAAAAAATCACCTCCCGGGGGAAAACACCCTGCCTCTGAAGGACGAGCTAGGTCCAAAACCACGCCAAAAAACTGCCTAACGTGTCGTCTGAAATCCTAGAAAAACAATATTTTTCGACAGCTTCTGTTGCCTGCGGCTGCTTTTGCCTGCGCCTGCTGCAGCTAAACAGCTTCGAACAACTCACCTCCCGGGGGAAAACCCCATGCTTCTGAAGGACGAGCTAGTTCCAAAACCACGCCAAAAAACTGCCTAACGTGTCGTCTGAAATTCTAGAAAAACAACATTTTTCGACAGCTTCTGTTGCCTGCGGGTGCGGCAGTAAAACAGCTTCGAAAAAATCACCTCCTCCCGGGCGGAAAACACCATGCCTCTGAAGGTGTTGTTGTTGTTGTTGTTGTTGTTGGTGTTGGTGTTGGTGTATGGACACCACTCGAAACGCTGAAACGCCAACTCACCTCCCGGGGGAAAACCCCATGCTTCTGAAGGACGAGCTAGTTCCAAAACCACGCCAAAAAACTGCCTAACGCGTCGTCTGAAATTCTAGAAAAACAACATTTTTCGACAGCTTCTGTTGCCTGCGGGTGCGGCAGTAAAACAGCTTCGAAAAAATCACCTCCTCCCGGGCGGAAAACACCATGCCTCTGAAGGTGTTGTTGTTGTTGTTGTTGTTGTTGTTGTTGTTGTTGTTGTTGTTGTTCTTGTTGTTGTTGTTGTTATTGTTGGTGTTGGTGTTGGTGTTGGTGTTGGTGTTGGTGTTGTTACAACCTCTCTGCCCTGACGCGCTCCCCCTTGCCGTCGGCCGGGGTCGGCGGATATCTTACTAATGTTGCTAGTGATGACATAGTGATGACGTAGTGATGACGTAGTGATGACATAGTGATGACATGGTGATGACCTCGTGATGACATAGTGATGGCCTAGTGATACATAGCGATCACACGGTGATAGTGGTGACATTTGTGATGACACGACATAGTGATGACCTAGTGATGACATAGTGGTGGCATAGTGATGACCTAGTGATGACATAGTGATGACCTAGTGGTGGCCTAGTGATGACATAGTGATGACATAGTGATGACATAGTGATGACATAGTGATGACCTATTGATGATTTAGTGATGACAAAGTGATGAAATAGTGATGACATAGTTGTGATAACATAGTGATAGTGATGACACAGCGATGACATAGTGATGACCTAGTCATGACAGAGTGATGACATAGTGATGACATAGTGATGAGCTAGTGATGACATATTCATGACAGAGTGATGGCACAGTGATGACATAGTGATGACATAGTGATGACACAGTGATGACCTAGTGATAATATAGTGATGACCTAGTGATGACCTAGTGATGACAAAGTGATGGCATAGCGATGACATAGTGGTGACACAGTGATGACATAGTGATAGCAGAGTGATTGTGATGACCTAGTGGTGACCTAGTGATGACGTAGTGGCACATTGATGACCTAGTCATCACGATGACATAGTGATGACCTAGTGATGACATAGTGATTGTGATGACATAGTGCTGACCCAGTGCTGACACAGTGATGGTGATGACATAGTGATGGTGATGACATAGTGATGGCATATAGTGATGGTGATGGCATAGTGATGACATAGTGATGGTGATGACATAGGCATGACATAGTGATGAGATAGTGACGGTGATGACATAGTGATGGTGATGACATAGGCATGACATAGTGATGGTGATGACATAGTGATGACATAGTGCTGACATAGTGATGGTGATGACATAGTGATGACATATAGTGATGGTGATGACATAGTGATGACACAATGATGGTGATGTCATAGTGATGACATACCGTACATGGACCGTAGAGCTTTGTGCAACATTGAAATTGGGGGCCTGGGGGTTTACTTGGTAGGCGCCTGTAGGGTTTGACCTTTTTGTCCATCTACTGTAGTGACGACATAGTGATGGCATAGTGATGACCTAGTGCTGACATAGTGACATAGTGCTATGTGGTGTTGCGGACTGCTGCCACGCGTTGCTCGTTGCCTGGCCAGGCAATTCTCGAGACGTTGAATCCACGGATAGGCAGTGAAATTGGTCAAGGGATGTCGAGTAGACTTGTGACTTAATGTGATTTCCTGTGATTTGTGAGTATTTCACAAAGTCAACGTCACATTGGCGGTAGACATGCAACGACATGCAACGACATGTAACATTTAGAAAAAGACATTTTTATGATTGATGTTCTGTCAATGAGAGCCCTCCGTGTTCCCTGCGGTTCTGGCATGTGTCACAAAGACAGATCCTGCGCCACTGCAGTGGGAGGTTTTCCAGCAGACTTGTCAAGAGCACTACAGTGACTTGGCTGATGTACAGTGTGGGATATTTGAGGGTAGATGGGGAAGACGGCGAAACTTGGATTAGGCCTTCTGTCGTGAATCTCAAATTCAATCTCTCTGATGTGAGAACTTTCCGTTCTATTTTCTGCCATCCTCCTTGATTTTTTGTTTGTCTTTCTTCTGCTCGCTGCTTGAGGCTTGGTGTTTTCTATGCGATTGGAGGCATTGTTGCTCGGCTGCGAGCATCGAAGTGATGGCGCTTCACAAGATGAGCAAATGCGCCCAGTCAACAAGTCACAATACTCAATACATTGTAATACATCTCAACACATTCATGATCAAGTCTGATCAATTTCCCATTTTTTGGACTTGAGATTAGACGCTTCACATTCTTTTCCGCGAGAATATGCACGATGTAGATTTGCACTTGCGAAGTCTGCAATCTCTGGCTCTAGGTATTGTTTCTCCCAAAGTTGCTTGTTCACTGCTGGTTCACCTACATCTTTCCAGTAGTGAGTGTTGAACACCTTCATGTACAGCCAGTAGTGAAGGGTGTTCAGATGGTTTTAGATGGTTTTAGTATGAGGGTGCTTTGAGAATGTGATTGACTGAGCTTGCCCGCGACACACACACACAAAACCTGTTTCAGCGTGTTTCGACACAGTATTGCTTGATGTTGCTTTAATCGGAGCAAACATTGGATTCATGGATTCGTAGAGCTGCGTGCCTGTGTTGCTGGTGGCTGGTCCATGCTGGTCCATGAGTTTTCTGAGTCCCCATGAAGCATGGTGCTCCGGTGCCATGGTGCTCCTTTGCTTTCCATCTGAGGTGCTGTTGTTTCTCTTGGTCTATCACGACAACAAGACTTTTCTCGAGGTGCCTCGCTTTGAGGTTTGCTCACAGAGTTGCAGGACTATGCAGAAGTAGAGAAGTGATATGAAGTGACAAAAGTTAGTAAAGGATCCAAAAAGCGATCAAGGCATTTCTGAATGCCTAAAGAGGGTCGAGTTGCTGTAAAATTCCTTGGTCTCCGACCTGAAACGCCATGGACGCCCTATCTGCCCCCTCTTTGGTGCATTTTTGCCGAGTTGGATTCCAGGAACATTGGGTAAATGCTCTGAACATGTTTCACTCCCTTGCAAAATCGATTTGTCTAAATGAAATGATCCCTGCCTTATAGGTGGCAATCGAGATTCAAGTTGAAGGAGACCCCTTCACAAATTTCACAATTAGACTGAGTCAACGGCTTGTCATCAATATCAATCTTTCTGATGTAAAAGGCGTTTGAATGCAGCAGCTTCACATGCAGTTTTTGACACATCTGTGCCACCATCACTGTCTTTTCTACTTCCATCAAGGCAGTAGTCCACAGACACCTTCGACGCAGCCATGTGCCTGTCGAGGCACCAGTGGGACAGTGGACATTACTTTTAGATACTTTTAGAGTGTGTAGGAAATGCCTACCTCGACCAAAAATGTTTGCACACGTAATTAGTTGGAGAGTTGGCTCGAAAAAGCAGAGACCGAGGATTTGCTTAGTGACTGAGTGAAAGATGTGGGACATTGGAAGCGAGAGAAAACATGATTATCCCGGCAAGAGACCCCAAACAGTGTGGGGGAGTGGGAGGATAATGTATGATCATGTGGATGGTGAAGACGATGAAGGAGGAGAAGAAGACGACGATGATGATGATGATGATGATGAAAATGTTGCGGACGATGATGTTGAGGATCATAATGTTACGGAAGAGGAGGTGGAGGAGGATGATGTTGCGGAAGATGTTGCGGATGATGATGATGATGATGATGATGATGGTGATGGTGATGGTGATGGTGATGATGATGATGATGATGATGATGATGCTGATGCTGAAGAGGATGAGGATGAGGACGATGATGATAATGCGGAAGATGAAGTTGAGGATGATAAGGTGGAGGATAATGATGTTGAGAAGGAGGAATATGATGATGTGGATGATGATAACGTGGAGGAGGATGATGAACAGGATGATAATGTTGCGGAAGATGAGGTGGAACCACATTTTGTGCGAGCTTGTGCAGTCGAAATTCATTTCAACATTTCGCAAGAGCCACTTTATACAGAAATTTACAGGAAAAATGCCGCGGCCCAGAATGAACCCAGAACGCAGACACACATTTCGTGCGAGCCTGCGCAGTCGAAACGCACTTCAACATTTAGCAAGAGCCACTTTTTACACGGAAATATACCGGAAAAATGCCGGGGCGCAGAGTGAGCACCCTGATCAAGCACCGGCCTTTACACGTACCGTAAGAACCTCTCAGTGTGGTGGACACACTGTTTAGGGAATTTGTGCGAGTTGTTTTTTTTTTTGACACACAGTTTTTCTCGCAATTGGAAAATTTGCAACTGAGCCATGTGGACCGGCAGAGGATTAGCAGAGGATGCCAAACTCCAAACTTCCCACATATCCTTTCTTCAAGTCTTGGAGACGTTGAGAACAAAAATCCTGTACAAGGTTTGATATAGAAAGTTCATGGTGTTTTGCTGTGCTCTTCCTGTTTCATGTTGGTTTCGGCACTCTTTGGTGCTTTGCCACGGCCACGGCCATGGCACTTGAAAACGTCACGCGGTGAGTTGAGGCAGAGTCGGATGAGTTGGTGGTGTCAGCGTGGCCGGGCCAAGACTGAGCGACACAGTGCTGAGATGTGCTGAGAAAAATCTCAGCAACTTACATAGCCACGTTATATTTCTATATATAATATATGTGTAAACATACATAAGTTTCACAAGTTGTAATGGCAAATGCTGACACTTGGTAACGCACCTTGCAATGATTATTGAACAAGTGTAATGCATCTTGTAATTTGCAGTTTGTTTTTTTTTGCAGCACCTCGTTGTAAATTGCATCAAGTTGCATCAAATTGCTTATTTGGTTGTTGGTTCTCAACAAATTGAACCGCTTAATTTCGCGGTGTTTGGCCTCGTCACTCGGTCGTTGCTCACCTCGTTAAGGCCGGTGCTGGAGCCAGACGAAGAAGAAGAGTCCTGGCTCATTCTGCAGCAGCTGCCATGGCAGCAACTGCTGCAGCTGCATCGGCATCATCCCGAGCAAAACTGGCAAAACACTAACATAGAATGACACATTCTTTTCAAACTGTTTTTTTCCAAACAAATGAAGCACGTTTCTAATTGGGACTATCTGGTGTGCTCTGTGTTTTGCTGTGTTGTCAATGCATCAAACATCAAAACCTTCTTGTCTTTCCCAGAGTTGATTGCCGAGGCATTTGTCCTCAGCACCAGAGATGGAGAAGGCCGAAAAGTGAGCAAGAACAATCAAGAACACAAGGTCCAGGAACCCTCAGGAACCATGAAAGGATCATTGAAATCATTGGATAATTACTCGGAAAACTAATTGGATAACTACTCGAAAAACTTCAACAACATGTTCAAAACAAACAACACTGCTCTTTGCCAGCGCCTCTGAGTGCCCAGGCTGAGGATGAGGAAGATTGCTGAAGATGCTGCAAAGGTATTGACAGATATTTATTACATGCTAAATATCTACTAATGGATGCATAATTCTGCATCATATATCAGATATACATACATACACACACATATAATTTATATATAATATAATAATAAATATATAGTTACATTAATCATTAAATATCTATTTGAAGGGATCGATAAGATACTAAGAAAAAAACGAACAGATGCGATGCTGGAAGAATTGGGCTATGACCATGTCACTCGCCAAAGGCGACTGCGTCAGCCTGGACTAAAATGAAAGCAGTTCTTCAAGGAAGCGACAGATAGCGACAGTAGAACACCCCCAAAAACAAAGCGAATACCCTTTTCAGGGCTGATCTGCCCTTTTAATCCTTTTAATCCTTTTAATCGCTTTTACTTGGGAATTGCTGGGATGATTGATGGTAATGATTTCTTGGAAGTTGCTGGGAATTTTCTTGGTTGTTCTCAAGCGAAATCCACTGGTCTTGGCCCCGTCTTCGCATAGTTCATCGAAATGACGCACTTTGCTTTAGACTTACGAGGACACTCAAAGACACTGAGCCACTTCCCACATTGTTCAAATCGTCATTGCAAGAAGACTTACCAAACGTCAAAATTGAATTCTGTAGATAGGTATCTCAAGAAGCCGCATGAAGCCCCGCAAAACAGACCAAACGAGTTGGTCACAAATCATTCCGTGCAAGACATGATCAACAAACAACGCATGAACTGTGTGGTTCTTAGTGTACATTCCTGTTTCAAAGTCGCTTGAAGATCGCTCCAAGGATTAAATCGAAATCAATCGGCGTTGTTTTCTTTTGATTTTTTTTACAAAACTAGCATCAGTGAGCAGGAGTTAGGAATTGCTTTTGCTTTGGCAAGAATTTTGGCGCTGGAATCCCCTATCTCATGCAAGATTTTGGTTTCTGCTTCGCTTGCCATTTTTGCCATCTTTTGCCATATCTTTTCAATTTTTTCTATCTTTCCCACATGTTTTGCCGATTGTTTTGCCATGTTGCGCAGTTGCAGTTCCCACCGGTCGCGCTGTAGCCGTCGGTAGCCGGTGACCGTGTGCCACACGCGTGCCACCGCGTGCCACCGGAGCCAGGGAGCTCGTTCTGCATTCAGCGGCACGGCTCCCCAATCGGCTCCCGGTGTCCCGGTGTGCACAGTGCGTGCACGCCCATGGAGCCCCGCTGAAGCTCGAGCACGAGCTCGATGCCCTTGAGACATACTGTCTTAAGAGGAGAGGCCAAACCAAAGCCCAGGCCAGTTTTTTCATACTGCCATGCAATATCATGCAATATCATGCAATATCATGCAATGATGTAGATGTAAATGTCTGAAAATCACCTGCAAACGGACCTTGTGCTTTGTTTTTTTTCACTGAATCAAACAATGACGTGCTTATCGCGGTGCTTATCGCGGTGCTTTTCATTTCTTGGACATGTGCCTCATGCTATTTCTTCATTTGCTAGGAATGTGCCTCCGCCGGGTGCCTCAGGAAAAAGTATTTGTGGGAATTTTCCAACTCTTTACATATCTTTACATTGATTTACAATTAACATTATATACACATGGTACTTTACTTTAAACACTATTTTAATTGTACTGACTGTACTGCACCTACTTTTCCAGATGCTTTTCTTTCATAGAGCGAGTAGAGAATTGTGCGATGCCTTTGAAACTCAAGAGACCATCAAACTTTTGAGAAAGTGCAGCGTGTAATGGAAAGAGCACCTGGCTCACTGACCTATGAAGCACCATGTGGAAGGACACATGCACAGGTCCGAGGTGTCTCAGTCTTGAAGATCACAACATGATGATGATGATGATGATCATCATCATCATCATCATCAGATCGATGTTTGGGGTTAGACACTACTACATACATATGGGCACTGTTTAGCAACTCTGAAACGGTCAAGCAGTAGCTTTTGAGTGTTCAGCCTTGATGTGTCTTGGAATGAGTCCGACAGACCGAAAGCTGAAAACCATGAAAGGACTGTGAAGAGCCCATGAAACGCCCATGAAACTCGTATGGACACAGCTCTCTCTCTCTCTATAACTCTAGCAGGTCGGTTCTCAATGGCTGAACTAGAATTTGACGTCGAGACGAAACGCTACGTTCTGAAATCAACTTGCCAAGATTTGCCAAGGTTGGATTGCCAAGGACTGCGATACCCCCACAGTACTTTCATTAGTACTTTCTGTATGCTCCGTGAGCATCGTGAGCGCTCTCATACGCTTGCTTGGTTTCTGGTCCCGAGGTGGACACTTTGCCAACCTTGGAAAGCATCTCTGAACAATTTTGAACAATTGAATGCAGTATACACCTCAATTAGATTCAGATTAAACAAATGAAATCAAATGAATCAAATTGTATTTTGGCATCACGTGGCTGTGCTGTTTGCAAACGCCAGCGCCGTCCCATCCTGTTGGGCGACACCTTCAGGAGATCGATCCAACTCAAAGAGGGCAACTGCTGCAGTGTCCAGCACCAAGCTGTTTGGGTACACCATTTAATATTAGATGGATAATCATGGATAATCCATTAATGATATGACCCAACTAAATTTTGTTTCATTTTCTTCTTCTCAGCTCAGAGGCTCTTGTTAATTTAGTTCTTGCTTTGACGAGCTTCAGCCTTCAGATGTGTTTTTTGCAAATCGAAGTCGAAATCGCTTAGGTCAGCTGAGCCAGTGCCCCAGAGTTGAATTCTAAAAGTCAGTGCAACTGCAGACTAAAAAAGGGAGAGCTATTGCAGCTATTGTTTCCTTTTTAAACTTTTGTTTTTGGTGTTTTATCTGTTTTCGAGTCTGGCTTCTTGGCTTTGGTGGCTTTTTGTGGCTTTTTGTGGTTTTTGCGACTCTTGTTGTCTCGGCCCATAGTTCCTGATTTCTTTTGTTTTTTTTGGTGCCTGTGCAGGTTTGGTGACTCTGACCTCACAAGAGATTGACACGCACCCACAAAAAACAATCCAGTAGATGCACCAAACCTGCACAGGCAACCAAAAAAATCAGGCACTATGGGTCCACCCCTCTGTAGTTGCTAGACTTTTTGTTTTCTTCTTTTTTTTGGTGCCTGTCAATGTTTGGTGCTGTCATCAAAACACAAAGGCTCCAAATTTGCGTTTGGCCTAGGTTTCAGAGCTCTCAAGTGTATAAAACAACATAAAACAACGGTATTTACAGTGTTTTCTGGTGTTTTACTTTCAAAAATCAAGTTCCCCTATGGTCCCATGAAACAGTTCCTTTTTGATGTCGTTGAGCCTCCATCCCCGAGTGCATCCGAGTGCTTCTCGTTTCTTGGCTTCCCTTGGCTTCCCGAGGCGAGATGCGCAGAGGACGCTGCAAACGTTTGTTGGGATCGAGTTGGTCACGAGTTGGTCATAGTCCCTGCCAGGAAAGTCCATGACAAAGGCCGCGAGGAGGCGGGTTTGTGGGGCCAAGATGACCCAAGTATTTTGGGTTTCTTTACTTTGATAATTTATGCATGATAATATATGATCATATTTTTTATGAGCTTCAGATATCAAATGAGCTTCGTGAAACAAAATCTACGGATGGGAATGGTCAACTCACAAGCTCTGCGCCCTGTGTTCTCCCAGGAGCCTGTCGACTGGGTGGAGCGAAAGACCGTTTCCGACGTCAGGAGCGACGACCCACAAGCTGCCGCAAGAAGCTGCCGCAAGCTGTCATTTTCCGAAAAGGGAAGCGAATCCGAAGCGAATCCCGTTTGCTCTTATGCGTCTTGCCTTTGCTGCGGTTGTCGCTGGGTCTTCTAAATCTTGTCTAGCTTTCAATTCAAAAAGTCGTCTAATTTATATCGCTAAAATATTGTTTCAACGAGTTGCACAGTCCCACATGTCTAAAACCATTTTTGGATGCACTCTTTGATAATCTTTGATGAAGTAACGAGAGTTGTTGAACGGAATTTGTTTGGTGTGCATGTGCATATGGCCTACTAACATTTGTGGGAACATTGGGCACCCCAGCAGAGTTGCCACGTCAGGTTTTGGAGACCATTTTGTCCATGGGAACAAAGCACTGGGGAAATGGTCTTTGCATTTAGTGATATTTAGTGTCTTCCAAACATAGGCGACCAGAATGGGCTGGACCCGAAGCCAACAGCTCGGCACCTCCCACAGTCTGAAAGGGGCCGAAATCGCACGCGACCAGGGGAGGTAGGAAACACTTCGTCAAAGACCACACCGAAAGCAACACAGGTCGCACATGACGCACAAGCGCGAGAACATACGGAGCGAATTGCCACTACACATAGAGGCCCGCAAACACAAGGACATGCCGACAACACACACACACACAAACACACAAGCCAGACCATGACTACAGACACTCTGTACCAATCTGTGGAAATTTGTCCGACAATTTGTCGGACAATTTGTCCTCTTGTATTCAATTTTGTTCAGGTGGCCGAAGTGAAACCCTTTCCGATGCCAGGAGCGGCAGCAAGGGAATGTCACGCAGGAGCAAAGCTGTTCCGGCACAGGCTGAGACGAATCTATCAGATTTGTGTTTTTCTAAAGCTTAGAAGAGGTCGCAAATGTCGCAAGTATTATATTCTTTCCCAATCAGAAGTGCCTTCATTGCACTGATACATGTCGCAAAAGAGTTTTGAATAGTGGCAAACTTGAGGTAGCTGATGGCAATGAAGATCATTCGCAAAGCTATCCTGAACGCATCGGAAGCAAAGAGAGCACGGGGAGCAATGGAAGGCGCCATGTGCCCATTTTTACCAAAAAGAGATTGGGGAAGCCTCGGGCTCCTCTTTGAATTGTGGAGATTGCGTATCCTTGCAGCTTTTATCTTGGCATTTCGTGGCATTTCCATGACTGACCTGGAAGGTTCAAGAAGCAAATTTCAAGGCACGCATTTTTGAAAGTGCTTTCTGTTCCAATGTGCACACAAGTCGAATTTGAACATGTTTGGTTGACAAAACATCGTGCTCCAACGTTGTGTCTAGTTTGGGTCATGCTGTTGGTTCCATTTGTAGAATGAGTTTGCAGACTGCATTTGTGGAGAAAGTCTAGATGATGGTCTTGTGAAGAAGTATGTCCTGACACGCGATGGATTGTTCGATGAGCCGTGACCGACATCTTGAAGGCTATCTTCGAAAACCGCCCTCATGAGCGAGGAGCGAAAGCAAAACTGATCCATTTGTTTTTTTTTAGCGTTTATTATAGAGTCTTAGGATGTCTTAGGGATCTTAGGGGCTATTTCAAGAGCTTCTGGCAGTTTAGGACAACCCATGACTCAGTCCGTTCCATCATTTTCTCGTACTGTTTTCGCAACCAATACGAATCCACGTCTTGCATCAGAATCAGAAGACCAGAGCTGACAGCTGCCAGTTGTGCAAGTCCTAGTTCGTCAGTGTCCGTGTCTTTGCTATCGTCTGATTGGTTGAGGATCCAACGCAGCAATTTGCCATCAGCCCAGTATATAACTTTTTTTATGGGTTGGGTTGGGCGAATGAACTGCTTTCATATCTCTTGCAAAATGGCAACATGATTCAAACAACATGATGCAAACTGATGCAACATGATGCAAACAGCAATTTGTAAGATACTTGAGAAATCATTCAATATCTTACAAATATGACAATTCGCCAGCTTGTGGGTCTCAGCGCTGATGAAACGTTCCGCCAAGCTGCTAAGCACGGTTTCAATGCCGCTGATCCAAGGGTGGGACCTTGCGGGGCTATCTGGATTTTCTATATAGGGAGGCAAGATTTGAGCACACCTTGCAGAGTTTGCAGATTAGACTATTAGACATTAAGACAAGACCTGAGGTGATTTTAGAAACTGATTTATTTTGCCATTTGGCATCACGAAGGTTCCTGTAGTGTAGCCGTCGAAGGCAGAGCAGCAGCTCATGTGGGAGAAGCTGGATGCCGCTACAAATAGGCGCAGACTTTGCAGACTTCGCATCTTGCCGTGCTACAGCATCTTGCAACACTGTTGTTGCAACACCGAACAACAGAGCCCGATTGAGATTTTCCTTGCACCGAAATGGTTGCAAGCCTCTCCGAGTGCAAGGACAAGAGATAAAACAAAGATAGCTTGGACATGTTTGGACATAATTGGATTATTTTAGATGACATATTTTTTTGTTGATACTGCTTTATACGGTAATTTATACGTGTTGTATTTTCTTTTCAGATGCTTCTTGTTTTTACATTGCATGTTGATGCATTTTGCTCGGCTGGAGGCTCAGCACGATCCAAGAAGCGCAGGAGATGCAGTGCTGGGGGGTGGGGATGGGATAGAGGGGGATAGGGGCGACATCAGCCGAGGCAAAGACAAAGGCATTTTCTTCATCTCCATGCATCTCCCTCATCTATCCTCATCTCACTACATTTTCTTCATCAAACTATATCAAACTAATCAAGTTAATCTGCTGAGCAGCTCAGGCATTTCCATTTTCTACAAGAATTCTTGAAAGAAAGCTGCAGAGAAATAAAGCCGCACTTGGGTCCCTCTCAAGCCACAGGAAATCTACGCATTTTGGCTGCGCATTGTACTGTCTAGCGAGTCTAGCGTTCGAATACTGCAGCATTTTCTCTCTCTTTGCAACAGTTTGTCTCTATGCAGCACTCTATGCAGCAAACTTTGTCATCTTTGTTGCTGCGTTTTGTTTCGTTGGTGGTGATTATTTTGACACACCGATGGAGTAAATAAGCTTCAAAAACATTTCCAGATGGTTGATGCGATCGGCCAACAAAGTTGCTTGGCCAAGTAGGTGTCGAGGTTCATCTCTATGAACACTTTGGCGGTGTTAGGTGTCAGAAGGTCATGAAGAACGAACAAAAACAATTGTCAAAAGTTGTGAGATAGTTGTCAAATGTTGTCAAATGTTCCATTGGCTCCATGTGCTACAGGACCTTGAACGCAGACCCGTTGTGTCACTTACATCACGCAATTCCATCTCACAGTCAGTGGACTCAGATCGCGGGCACGGCGGGCACGGGACAAACATCTTGACACATGACAAACCGCACAATTCCCGAGCGTTTGAAGATGTCGAAGTATGTCGAAGTATGTCGAAGTATGTTCGTTTGAGGACAGGATGGACAGATATGGACAGGGCACTTTACGAATCTCTCCGGAAGATGTCCGGAAGCAGACGACAGTTTTGAGACAGATTATGAATGCAATCAGCATTTTTAACGAGAAACAGAGCTGTTTCCTTTTCTTAGTTTCCTTATGTTTCCTTATGTTTCCTTATGTTTCCCTGCATAGAGAATTGAATCTGCCGAATCATCAAATCCGCGGCGAAATCTGAAGTCTGAGCAGAGTCGCAAAGTCGGGCACAGCTGCCAGGATGAAGTCAGCGAGGACAGCGGCCTTCGAGACCCTCGAGGATGAGGAGGTCCGATCCATAGAGGATGAAACCGATGAAGAATTGAGAAGATATGAAAGCGTTCGATGCGTTCGATTTCCTCTTCTTCTTTTGCTTCTTCTTTTGCTTCTTCATCTTCAACTCAACATTTCTGCTTCATGTCGAATCGTTTCCCCGTTTCCTGTCTGCAATTCTCTCATAATTTTATTGACAAGCTGCGCAGACCAGCAATGCCACAGTGAGGGTGGCTCAAGATGCGTACTCAGAAATACGTATACTATAACCCATAATATGAACATAGTAACATATGATCTCCATGCAGCACGGCAAAAGCGTTACCTGACGAAAAAACGTTTCAACATTCCCGCCGCTACACACACAAACGAGCTGCACAATTGCAATGGTAGCTTCAAGTAGAACAAACAGTGACGAGTTCAGTCACTCAGTGCAGATAATTTTGCCAGAAGTCTAATCTCTTTGAATCAGTCTTGACCCAACTTGAGCCAAAGTACGATCAGTACAGCGGCGTGGCTCACGGTCTGCGCAGTGGAGTGCTCAGTGGAGGGCAGTGACAATGCAGTGGACATGGAGTTACATCTCAACACGACCCCTTGGATCAAGACGTTACAGTTCAAGTCTTAGATCCACAAAAGTTAAGCCTTTTCGCACAGCGAGTCCTAAGAGCGAATTCAGCACACTCATCACTGAAAAATAGACCAACAGTACAGGGTCATCCTTGCAAGTTACAAGGCCCTTCATCTCACTTTCACAGTCATCAAGACAGTGCAGTGCCTACTCGACTTGAATTAGTCTGCTCAGTGCGCTCGGTCCTCTCAGTGACGCTGGAGTGTGACCACAGTGTCGATCCCAGTGACAGTCCAGTCACCTTCAGATTCACTTTCAGTCTTCTCCGTTTTAGTGGTCTCACCGGTCTCACCGGTCTCACCCTCAGTCTTGCCTTGCGGTGTAGTCCACGTGTGGTTCTTCAGTTCAGTCGCGGCAGTCACCATTCCAGATCTGAACATCTGCATCTCAGTGGCAAGTGACCGACCAAGTAGCGCTTGTGCCCATTGCAATAGGCAGCGCCAGTCAGTTCCATTGCCAGTCAGCCAGTGTCTTCAAGTGTCTTCAAGTTGAAATTGAACATGAAGTACAGTGCAGACTTCAGTTCAGTCTCACCAAACTCCATCGCAGTCTCACCAGGCGAGTTGACAAAGGGTGTTTCATCTCAGTCGCTCCAGCCCTTGACAAGTAGATCCCAACAGCTACCAGTGGAGAGCCACGTTGAGTCACGTAGGGTGATGACTCATCCGTCTTCCACAGGTGCAGTGCAGCACGCAGTACTGCTGTTCTCAAGTCAGTCCAGGGGTTGCGAGTTTGCTACTTCGAGCGCTGCGATGCGCTGCTTCGCACAGCGATGCGTGAGGTCACATATGCATTACATATGCACTCACAAAACATGGAGCTGATGGCAAGGATGAGAACTTGAGAACAATGGTGACATGGAGTTACCCCCTGAAGGATGCAAAACATGCCATTAGCCCATGTCACACCTGCAGGTTTCCAATCCGTTGCCAAACCGGCCCAACTGACAGGGCCCTTGAGCCGCAACGTTCATAGAAAAGGCGCCATCCGTTGTCCGCTTCACAGATACATTATCCTCCCACCCCCCCGCACTGTTTGGGGTCTCTTGCCGGGATAACTCATTTTTTCAAGGACCGTTTTGGCCTTTGGAACTCTAAAATTCAAAAAACTTAAGACTTTCCGCCAAAACCAACGAAGAAAACAGCCAACTGAGGGAAAACGCATTTTTCCCCAACAGCGTTAGTGTCTGATTATTTGGCGCTCCCCTGCTTCGTCGGCGGATATGGTTTTCCCAGTTGGGCTATATTTTGCCTCTTGGAGGGTTCTCCAGCGAAACTTTGGCATGTTTTGGTTCTGGCAGTGTTTGATTATGGCCCTCATTGCACAGTTGCTCCTGTCTCTACCGCGTTGAAACTGTGTTTTTTTTTTTAATTGTTTTTTTTCCATTTCTTTGCTCGGCTTCGCTCGGCTTCGCTCGGCTTCGTCCATTGCAATTTCGCTGAGAAGAAAACTGGTTCTTTAGCCGTTCTAGCCACTTTCTTAGCCCTGCCAAGGCTGCCAAAGATCCTTCCCATGTGAGAAGGCTTCTGTGGATGTGTTGTGTGGTCGTGCATGCCGATGCTGCGCCAGCACTTAAATTACCAAACTTACCTTGAACCATTTTGAATCAGACGTTTTGTTTGATTTTCCATATTGGATAAGAAGGCAAGCAGATTGACCGGTAGCGGCAATATGGTGGCTTGTAAGTAAAACCACACCCAAGGTGGAGCCAGACACGTTTGATTTTTCTTTAGACAGTAAACAATTGGAACACATGCCACAACAGTTCAGGTCCTGTTTGCAGCGTTAACTTTGAACAGAAACTATAGAAACTGAACAGAAACATACAGAAACTGTAAACTTTGTAAACTCTGTATGCAAACTCTGTAAACCTTGCGTAGTTAATCTTAGCCACTGTGTAACTGCGCACCTTGCGCTTTCCGCCATGCTTTCCGCCACGCCAGGCACTCGCAGACGAGTTTGGATGGACGCGTTCGTCGCCAAAGTGCTGTCGTGATTGAGATGACCACGGAGGCTGTCGCAGCTGTCGCAGTTGGCTGTCGCAGAACTTGAGGTTCTCCCTCCCAAGTTCTCTCAAGTTTTGTCAATTTCTCCAAGACTTCTGCCACTTCTGTCAGTACTGCCAGACTTCTGTCAGTACTTATGCCGCATCTTATGCCGTATGGTTTTCTGTTTTCTGGGTTCCTGGAAAACCGATGCCGCCGATGCCGATGCCATGTGTCCCTGTCGGAAACCCATGTGCAGAAATGTGCAGAAGCAAAGAGATGAGACCATGGAAGCAGTAAGAAAGACACTGTTTATAATGTATAATGTTTATAATGTATATGTTGATGTAGATAAATGTTTACCTATACATGTGAGTATGAATATGTATGAATATGTATGAATATGCATGAATATGTATGAATACGTATGAATATGCATGAATATGTATGAATACGTATGACTATGTATGAATATGTATGAATATGTATGACTATGATGAATATGTATGAATATGTATGAATATGTATATATCATATATATATATACATTTATATTTATATTATATGTGAATATATATATATGGCAAAATGGCAAAGCGGGGGTAGTTTAAGATCTGCAAACCGTTACCAACTGCTACGGTCTCGGCTAAGCTGGAGGTGCCCATCGGCGACGAGGACAGCAAAGTTCCCCTGGTTCCGCCCCTCTCTCTACTTGCCTCACTTGCCTCATGTCAAACATGTCACAAAACATGTCATCAGAGTCCAAGTGCCAGTCGATGCCAGTCGCATGTGTATTGCTTGAAATGTGTGTGAGGAAGGAGAAGAGGTGCAATCAAGTGTCGAGTCAAAGAGATGTTCATAGCACACTCTTCACACTTTCCAGTAATTTCTCGACAATTTTGAGCCGAAATAAGTTTTGACCGTTTGACAAAGTTCCCAGCTTGTTCATGTGACCTTTTGTTCAACTTTCGCGAGTCAGCGCCAGGCCAATACTCAAGGCGTGGGTGTTTGAGCTCGTTGCTTTGACGAGTCTTGTTGCCCACTGTGTGCTATCCCATAGGATCCATGTATGCTATATATGCTAACATTGGGGGTATATTGATGGTAAATGTTACCATATATAGCATACATGGATCCTATGGGTATGTGAATTGTATCAATCTTCGTAAACTTATATACGTCGTAAGCATCTTCAAACCTTCAGGTCAGCTTCAGGTCATGAAGCTCCCTGCAACGCCCCACTGAATTTACTCTTTTAGACTGGGCTCTCCGCTTTGTTCTTTGAAGATCCTTGAAGCAAAACATTTCGCACACACAGCATTTGTAGCGGTGTGTGTCTCGACGCGCTTCCGGAAGAACCATGTTTTTGATTTCTCGTTTCAATATGTTTCAATATGTTTCAATATGTTTCAATATGTTTCAATATGTTTCAACAAAACATGATTTTGTTTTTTTCGTTCATATGGGACTTCAGTTTCGTCTTGGGATGCGGCGTTGCTGAACTAAAAACATGCACAGAACCGTGAGAGGTTTGTTCGATGACAAGGCTAGGTACATCTATAGGTACCCAACTATTCAGTGCATTAGTGGTTCTTGACACGTTGATCCTGTGCGTATGCATCACCAGTGTTTGCATGTGAAATGGAACGCGATTACCTCCCCTCACCCCCCCTTGCCTGAACCATCCTGAACCTATAGAAATTGTGAGTGTGAAATAGTGTGAATGTTCCGGCCAAATAGCCAAAGGCGCACACCCGTTAGAACTGCACTTTGCGAAGACTGTGGAATTCTTTTCAGGGTGTCACTGGCTTGTGGCTAAGGGAAACCGAGAGATGTCCAGAGCAAGGACTGCACATTTGTTTCTTGGGTTTCTGGCGTAGATGGCGATAGATCCCAAAGGCTCTGAAGAGACTTGCTATACATTTGACTAGAGAGCTCAAGCAGACTTAAGCAATTTCTGTCTTTTTTTTCTGGCAGGAACCAGACCAGCATCCCCTCAAGGACCAGCTCACTGCAAAGAAGGTGACGCAAAATCACCAAGAACAATGGGACTTGGAAACAGACATTTCCAACATTTTCCAACTTGCTGCGGGATAGATGTGATGCGATTGAATGCCCTTAACATTTCCAACATGTGATTGACATGTCCAGTGCATGAGAAAGTTATCAGTCAAGCTATGAGGATTTTGGTTGTTGGAGGTTGCTTTTGGCTGTGACAATACTTGTGTTGTACTTGCATGTTCAGGTGAACATAAACGAAGTCCGAGAAATCCTGTGACGGGCTCAGAAACAAAGAGCATCAAAGAGCATCGAGCAGCGTCAAAGAGTCGACGCAAATGAGTGGAAGTGCTGGCTAAAATGTATGTACATGGGCATCAGAATGCATCAGAAGTTCTAGCAAGTATGATCAACTTGAAGAGCCTCTCACGCCTCCACCGGTCCATATGTTTCTGTTTCCAAACGTTCCTATCTGTTTCGATGTACTGACAACGCATGGAAACCCGACGTCTCTTGTTTTTGAACATTATCATTGCGCAAAAGGCGAACATCCCGGATCAACAACACCAATAGACACGAGAAACCCGACTGCTTTTTGCGGAAAAACACCATTGTACAGCAATTGGCTCTACGTTGGCTCCAAAAAAAATCGAAAGAGTCCCCCGTCTACCTCGACCGACTGCATTGCACTGCACTTTGCTACACGCGGCTCCCTCTCTCTCTCTCTCTTTCGGCAGGAAACACTTAGAAGATCTTCCGAGATGGCTGGAGGTTTCTCAATCGAGTTGAGTTAGCCGAGGTGTTCGAGAAATAAGTTCAGAAACAAACACTTTGTCTTGAAGTTGAACAGCTAGTAGCGGCTGGGTCTTAATTTCATTGGGCTGTAGCCTGCAGGATTCGACGGGAACCCACAGATTTCCATGAAATTTGGAGCGTCAGTTTCAGTGTTCGAAGAGTTCGAAGAGTTCGAAGAGTTCGAAGAGAACACTCCAAACCCGTGAAGCTGTGAAACTCCAGGAGCCTTTGGTCTCTGGATACTTGGATGCGTTTGGAATCGGAATCCTTTGGATATGTTTGGATCAATTTTGTGTCGAAAATGAAGAGAAATGTTTGGCTCCGGAGCTCTGGCTCCATGTTTCAAGATGTTTCATCGGAATTCCGACATCTTCCGACATCCGACAAGGCAGCATTCCGAAGCCTTTGATTGTGGCAGTAGCAGACAACAACCCAGATTTGGTAGGCGCCGTGGGACCTGGCAACTTTGACAAGACATGACAAGACGTTCCTATTGGAACCCTATTGGAACCCTATTGGAACGTAAACAACTTTTTAAACAATTTTAAACAGGTGTCCTGTGTCATGGCGGTTTAGTTTAGCGTTTCTAGATCCTCAGCTTGCGCTTTTTTGTTTTCCCTTTTGTGAGATCTCAAACGAAAGTGCATCGAGGGTAGTCAGACGGTTTGTTGTCCTCCATTGCTCAGGGCGATGCTCTTGCTCGCTGGATGCTTCCGCTATCGAAATATTGTGGAATTTCGATGAATTTCGGGTTTCCACATTTGACACTTTTTGGGTTTCATTTATTTTCATTTGCTCAAAATTCTATCAGCTATCGATTTGAGCCCTGGATTATCTGATTCGACTTTGACATTTTTTTCAACTCCAGGGCTCCTGATCGAATTTCGAGCAGACTTCTCAAAGCCCTACGATGCTCCAAGTTTGCTCCTCAGCGCAGACATGCGCAGATGGTGCGCACCGTGGAGCAATGCAGAGCACCTCTGCCAGGGCAAAGTGAAGGTAAGTGAAGTACTGAGATGTACTGAACATGATTTGAACATGATGTGAACTCCATACTCCATATGTCTCCATGTATCCCGCATAGTTTGTAGATAGATATATATATATATGTACATATTTATGTTTGTAGAATCTTGTACACATCAATACGATGTTTGTAACATTCTTTAAGAAAGTGCAGTCTTGATAAGTTTCAGCAAAGTTCAACATGTGTCGACCGTGTCGAGGCAGCTACAAAGGTTGGATCAAACCTGGACAGTCACTGCTGTCCTGCGTCAGCAACCGGAAAGGCCGCTTCGTGGGTTTGGTGCTCAGATTTTGTCCCTCTTTTCAGGTCTTTCAGGTCACCGTACTTTCAGTGCCACGCAGTCGCAGGAACGATGCTGGCAGACCGGTTGACCAAAATCGAGGACAGCCCTTGTCTTTGGACCTTTGGACCTTTGGACCTTTGGACATCCTTTTTGAGGGGATTGTACAAACTGCTAATCGTAGAGACTGTTGCACGGTAGTGTTTCACATTGCCTCACCTCGATTTGGAAATTAAGTCGTCTTCCGTGATCTCTGTAAGGAGATGCTCACTGTCCAAGATGCCGAGCAAGTCATTGATGATTTAGATGCATTAGAGGCGCGTTTAGCCGCACATTTTGAGATGCTTATGGTTTTGCCATTGTCTAAGCCAAGGGGAAACAATTTTTTGTCATTTTTTTGTCACATATCTTCACATATCTTCATGTTTTGCCATGGTCTAAGTGTCAATCCGTGTCAAGAAACGATAACGGCAGGTGGGAAGCTCAAAGTCAGCTTTTGGCTTGGAGCTCAGAGCTGAAAAAGCTGAAAAAGCTGAAACACAAAGAATTCAGCCGATATCCTGATCAAGCTGATCCTTTCTTTCTTTCAAGCTTAGATATAGAATCAAATAGAATCAAATAGAATCAAATAGAATCAAATAGAATCTAAAGATTTTTGAACATGCTTGAAATAGATTGCGAATGAACAATGTGAAAAGACTCCGTCATAATCGGTTAGTGCCTCGTTTCTACACGCGTTTTTGAACTCGTCTGTGCACACACACTATTCTGACATGTCCTTGCGCGCGAAGATTCTCCAGTCTTGATCATACATTGTCATTTGTTTCTTTTCTATTCTACCGAATTCTACCTTTCTTTAATGCATTCCTTTCCACTGTATCTATTTGTATCTATTTGAGCCACCGCAAAAACCCCGGCAATACTAAATATGTATTGGACGGACATTGGTTTATGGAAATTGATGGAAATTGTTAAAAACACACGGTAAGCGATGGGACCTTCCCAAATTAGCGATGCCCCTTTTCAAGGTTATGTCATTGTATTTCTCTAATATCCACATTAGCGATACCCAAATTGGACGTTGATTTCTGTGAATTATATACATAAAAATGTAACAGTTTCCTGCAAGCGATACCCCCCAAGTTTACCATATATCATTATTGTACAAACGTGTGGTAAGCGATGGGACCTTTCCAAATTTGTGGATGTCCTTTCCGTGAACCTAGGGTTTTCGAGATTGCTCATTTGTATCTATTGTCATTTACGTTTTGCTACCCAACCCCAGCCCAATGCATGGTGAGTGTGTATTGCTTCTGTGTGCGAAACATGAACGTTAATGGCACCATCCCACCACAACCCCAACCCCAGACCTGAGTGTACAGGCCCCCCCCTGGGGTGATTTCTTGAGCAATGGGTTATTAACGGTTATGATTCCTCCACTTGCACTTATTTGATCTTATTTGATATTATTTTCACTTGCTGATTTTGATTTCGTCTTCCTCCCCTTGCACTTTTTGACTCAAGGACTGCCTATTACAAAGGTATATGCAGCCCAACACGATCAAGCAATCCATGCAAGCTCAGCAATCGCTGCTGCAGTTACTCTCGTGATCACAGTATCTCTGCAGTTTTCATCTCAATGCCTAGGTGCCATTGCAGCCACATGGGGTACGGACGAGCTCAGCAAGTCCTCGTTGCGAGTTGCGCGAGTCGATGATGGTGTTGCAGATAACACAGACACACACACACATCTTATGACAAAGCTGGTGCAACTATGTGCAACTTATCAACTTCTTTCAAACTTCTTTTGAGCTTCTTTCGAACTCCTGAAACATGGGATGGCTGAAATGGTCCAAGGGCAGAGAAGTATTGCGCGTAGTGATGCGTAGTGATGCGTAGTTTAGCTCCCTTTTGGCCAGGCCCCGTCACACTCAAGGACATCCCAAGGGTCGCTGACCAAGTTCGTGATGTTTTGACTAACAGCCTGGAAGACACATTCATTATATATTCATCATTTTTTATAATATTTTTGTTTCTTTATATATAGTTTCTTCATTCAGATATTTCTTCCATTTTCTTCCTTTTCGTTTCTGCCCTGTGTTTTTGCATGTTTTTGCTAGCTTCTCGGCATTGCAGAGAGACTGGACATGACGGGGGTCATGTGTTGATTTTCAGGCGTCTACGAAGTCCTAGAACATCTTGATGATGGGGACAGAGGGGTGCTGCAATTGAGGGAGTTGATGGATTGAGAAATTCGTAAGATTCGTCGCAACCTGGCCCTGTGGAGACTGGAAATATTCGAAGCCGAGAGTCCGAGAGATCTTAGATCCTACAGTTTTGATATGTTTTGATGTCACCCTTGGACACTCTTTGGCACAACCATTTGGAGTTCCATTTGGAGTTCCATCTGACGATTTTTGGATGATTTTTTCTCCACTTGTCACAGATCAGGACACCAGCACCGTTTGGGGTGGGGTGCATTTGCCAACCAAAGTGTCGGTCGCCATCAAAATCGAAGTGAAGTCGGCGGAGGCGCCAGGATTGCAGGGTTGACTCGGGTAGACTTGGTGCAGAGAAGGGCGAAGGACGGTGAAGGACGGGTGCGAAGGACGGCACCGTATGAGTCCAAGGATATGATTTGTTGATATTTGTTGAACATGTTTTGAACATAAGTTGAACACATAAGTATTGCAGACTCAAAAGTCCATGTCCTGCAGAGAAAGATAGGGCGATGGGTGAGAGGATTCTGAGCACTTTGTCACTTCGTTTTCGTTTGTTTCTGTTTGCAACATTCATGGCCCAGAAGAATCCCTGCAACATCCTTTGTGGCATACACACAAACATACAAGTATAATACACATATAATGTAAATGTAATATACATATCATATAAATATATTGTATATATAATGTAAATGTAATACAAATGTAATGTAATATCATATAATATAATATAATATAATATGAGTGGTGACAAGCCATTCATCACAATATATGTAAATGTATGCGTATACATCGTCTCGTTGCTTCATTTCGCAGTTTGGTTTGCATGGTCGTCAAACTGTAGAATCTGATAATTCTGATTTGAATGTGCCGTTACTCGCATCTACAAACTTATTGTGGAAGGAAGTATCATAAAGTATCTATCTTGTATTATCTATATCTATCTATATTTATCTATATTTATCTATATCTACTAGTACCATCTTGCATCATCTTGCCATGCTGTGGATGTCCCAAAGTCCCAAACCTTGGCGCAGATCGAAATGTGGGAAGAAATCGACATTATGAGAAGATTGAGGCCATGAGGGCCATGTTGGGGCCATGTTGGGGCCATGTTGGTTGTGGTAGACTCCTGGTAAGACCGCATGGTAGACACCAGATTTTCATCATGTTTCATGCCACAAACGTGCCACAACTTGTGCTAACAAACGTGCTAGTCTTGATCTCTTCTGATCTCAGATTCCAATTCAAACCAGAAACCAGAAACCAGTCACTAATCTGACTTCATATTGACTTCACTGATTTGACGATGATCGACTTCTTAAAAAACGGACATATGTTGTAAGTTATCATGACATATCATGACATATCATGACATATCTTGGTATCACTGTGTTCTCAGTCATTTTGACACTTCGTCGCATTCGTCGTGTTATCGTCGTTGATTTCGCGAGGCATCCAAACATTTGTCGCCTTTTTGAGACCTTCGAGAGCGAGACGCAGGCAGAACACGGAGGGACGTTTACGAAAGTTCGAGAAAGAACACACGGAGACACCTAGAGAATCCTAGAGATAATTCTTGGATATTAATGGAACAAATGGATGGAACATTGGAAAGAAGCTTTAATTACTCAACAGGTATGTAGCGGCATGCAAAGCTACTGCACTTGTCCTTACGCCTGCAGCTATGGCAGCTATGCAGTGTCTTTTTGAGATCTCACTTTTCCGTTCCTTGGGTTTCTTCTGGTGCCAATCCTCTATTCAAATTCTTGCCATAGGTTTTCACAGGCATTTGTTTCGTGTCTTTTCGTCCTTGCTTTCCACTGCTTTGCACTGCTTTGCATGTGTCACTACTCTGCAGAGTAGCACAGTACAATTATAGGGAATAGGGACATAGCCGCTGACATAGCCCGCAGTAGTACCTGGCAGTACACATAGCAGTCCCCAGTACAAGCCTGAACTCTTGCAATAAACAGATTCAGATCCGGTGCCATGTAGTGTGAAGTGACGCTCAAAAGTGCAGGCTAGTACTTTGAGCAGAGTAGTGCTGCGGAGTGATCTGCAGCACGCAAAAGTGCAAAGTAATGCAGACCAACACTCTGCAATCTCGTGCATTGCTAGGTACTATCAACTAGATCCAATTAGAGCAAGGCAAGATTTTGCTGTAGAAGGAAGTAAATTGGAGTGCACGGCCCTACTTGTTTACCCATCGGAGTATCCTAGTATCATGCAGCGCAGAGTTGCTGCTTTGTAGTGCACAGCAGTACCTTGTCCTCTTATTTCCTACCTTAGCAATTTGCACAATCGCACTGTTCAGTACAAAGGATACAAAGGTACATTGCAGTCGTTTGTGGAGTCTTCTGCCACGTGGGACAGAGTGGTATTTTGATTTGGCTCTGGCTCTTCTCTCTAAACAGCATCCCCAGTGTCGACAAGAGGGAGGTGGGTGGTTACTACAACAAAGCTAAGGATATCTAAGGATGCTAGAATGACATAGAGATGGATAGGCCGTCTGGATACATGCATAGAACGTAGATCTAGCATGATCTAGCTAGATTGTGTCGCCTTTTCCATTGAACATTTTGTGTCTGTTTAAGTTGTACCATGTGACCATGTAGTAGGTTGTATTTGCATGTGTATGTCATCCATATGTTAAAACATGTGACATAACTATTATAACTATGTTAAAACATGTGACATAACTATTATAACTATGTTATAACATGTGACATAACTAAGTTATAAATAACTGTTATAACTATGACCTAACTCTGACAAAACTGACTGTGTAGAGTTCTATGGTCCGATGAGTCCCCCATCGTCTACACCCGCGGCGAAGGGGGGGAGCAAAAGCTGACTTCTTACGATGTTACGATGTACTATTTGAATCTATTTGACTTCATAAGAACATGGTAAGAGTATTGCTTACAACATATTTTTGAAGATGGTATAACAATGTATAACATATTCACACATATTCAAATAAATATTGATGCATCAAATCGATTCTCTTGGGGCAATACGCAGCGGAGAGCGTTGCCGTAGCTTAGCAGAAGTTTCCGCACCAGGCAAACTTGTACAGGGGATACACGACATCTATCGAGATCTCATCACTAGAATAATGCAGTATTGTAAAGAAACGTGCAAGACAAATACAGTAGAAATCTGTCGGAAACCTGCGCTTTTGCTCTGGTACACTGCCAGACAAATGTGTCAGCTCCTTTTGCTAGTGCATTACTGGGAGTGCTCGAAACAGTTGTCAGCACGAATGAACCGGGTCAACTGCACTGTTGCTCTTTACCGCGGCGTCACGGATTCATCACTTGTAGCATCTGACACCATTCCGTGGACCCATGTACCTGCAATAACCCAGACACATGATCATGTCATGTCATGTATGTATGTAATGTGATGCGATTTTACTTTATGCAGTATAGCGCGCAAGCAATGCACTGCATTGCACAGTGCAACTCGACTTTGATGATGGTGATGATTGTTATATTTATCTTGATTTTAAGCTGTATCACGCAATGTCACAACCTGATCTGTTAAGACATTTTCAACGCACACTTTACCTAGGGCGATAGTGCTCAGGCCACTTGTTCCAACATCTTCAAACTATTGGAACTCTGAGGTTTTCATGGTGTTGGAACTCTGCCTTGGCCGACTCTACGACAGCCTTGCGATAAAGGACAGATCTAACGACGGCCAACGTGTTTTAAGTTTTGGGTCAATGCCTGAGGCAATTGTGATGTGCTTTGCAATTTTTGTCTGAAAGTGTAAAATATCAAGAGACAGGGACGTACAAGGAGAGGAAAGAGAAAGGGAGAGAAGCAAAACTGAGAAACTGAGAAACAGAAGCACATTTTGCAAAGAGAGTTGAGGCAGTTGAGGCAGTTGAGGAAACTGGAAAAAGATGGTGCGATGCTTGATCTTGGCGAAACACATTTCAACTGGTGATGCCAGATGAATGTCGGACCATGTCGGACCTCTCAAAACATGGACTGCAGACAGGAGGATGGCGGGTATGCTGTGTGCAGGCATGAGATATCATGAGATTGCTGGTGGTAGTCAGTGCATGTCAGTGCTAGTTTCTGAGAAAGCTCCTAGGACCTTTGAGACTCTCAGGAACATGTATGTTTACTTTCAGTGACAAACACAGCAAGCATGATGGCAATATAAGATATGGCAAGCATGCAGTAAATTTAGATGATTTGCAGTAGATTTTCCTATATTTGCCTTCTGAATTGCTCGCAATGGGTCAATGTTTTGCAGATCACCACGCTTCTTGCGTCAGCTGGTGCTTGCGGTCCACGCCTTAGTTTGCTTCAGCTTGAGGATGAGCAACTTAGAATCAAACTTGTTTGGTTCCAACGGATTTCAACGTTTTCTCAATGACGACGTTGAAACACGTTGAACCACGTTGAACCACGTTGAACCACGTTGAAACGCTGGCAATGCTGAACTTCGGTCTACTCTTTCTGTTCTGAAATGTTCTGAAGACACTCAGAGAATCTTAGAGACATGCTTGGAGAGTCTGACCCCGGCTGCCGCATGCTGCCGCTCAGGTGGCATGTCTTCATGATCGCAAGATTTGCCATAGGGACCCTCAGCTCGGTGCTTGAAGACCTGTTGACTGTTACTTCATGCCTCTTCATGCCTCTTCATGCCTTACTTGCCTTACTTCCGTTACTTCCGTTACTTCCGTTACTTCATGCCTCAACTTCGAAGATGCTCTGGATTGGTCTCCTTCGGACAACGTTCGTCGTTTTGGATCGTTTTGCATGTCTCAGTTACAGTGGAACTTTCTTCGCTGTGCGACGAAGAAATGCAGGATGTGCAGTTGGAGAACTTTTTGCTCATGAAAGAAGACGCATCTTTGGAGGAGGCAAAGCAAGGGCAAAGCAAGAGCAAAGCAAGAGCAAGGGATTGGAGTTCGATATAGTTCGATCCAAGCGTTGCTATAACGGCCAGCTGATATCAGCTGATATTTCCTGAGCACATCGTTTGCAAACCGTGGCGCTGTTTGTTCGAGACTTTCTGGCACTTTTGTCCAGGTCTGCTGAAGTCCATCCATATCCACACGTCGATTCGATTCATTTCTCTTTCTGGATCCTGCAGGCAACTCCCAAGCTCATTGACTTCACCACAGCCAAGGAGAGAGCCTAAGAGACTGGCCTATGCACACTGACAGTAGGCACACGATGCTCCACAGAATAATCCTTCCACTGCCCCTCCGTGCTGCGCATCGCTGCGTAGCAATTCTACACTTAACGCAGTGACAGCTGCGACTTGGGTTCAGCTGACGCAGAGGTCAATGTAGCTAAACCTGTGCAGGTACATTTTTGGCCAGGCAAAGACCATATGCATGCACAATCATGCATAGATACATGTAGATACATGCATGCTGCAAAAACTGACCATGAAATTTGAGCAACTTGTAGGCTGTATGAAGATATCTTTGTTGCATTTTTGTTTGGCCACCTTTGTGCCTCGCGCTTGCAGTACTTGTTCCCCTCGCTTTCCATCTCCTGTCACCTTGCCCGTGCTTTCTGCCATCTTTGGGACTCAAGTTGGACATTAACACTAACAATAACCTTCAGTATTTAACGTATGCACGTACACTTGCACACACACACACATGCACATGCACATGCACATACATACTCATACAAACTTGCATGCACATGCACATGCACGTGCACATGCAGGTGCACATGCAGGTGCACATGCAGATGCACATGCACGCACATACGCATACATACATACGCATACATACATACGCATACATACCTACATACATACATACATGCATGCATGCATGCATGCATGCATACATACATACATACATACATTCAAACTCGCAAACCCACACAGGACCGACCTCCAAACCTTCATATGTCGCCTACCTACGTACCTGCCTACCCCTAGCTAATTACTTAACGGCGCACTTTTTTGTTGATTTTTTTACATGCAATTGTGTGCATTGCATTCTCAGGACTTTAGCGGGGGTCAGGCACGGGGCGGTTTTAAGGTCAGTCTGTGGCTGTTTGGCTGAATTTGCCCGGATGTATACACACATGTTAGCTACTGACACGAGACGTATTTGAATGTGTATGTGTTCATGTGTCTATGGCGTCTATGGCACGTTCTTTTAACATCTAATTTGTTTCCATTCCACAGGTGTGGAAACTTGGAATTAGGTCAGTTAGCAATGACCACTGCTACTTGTGCCTGGCAGATCTGTTTGTCAACCGTTGCCTTTCTCGGAGGTATTGGTGACAAAGGTCTGCACGTTGCTGCCTCAGTGGCTAGTTTGGCCTTTCCGAAAACCAGCGGAATCTTGACTAACTTGACATAACTTGACTGGGATGTTCTACGTACCTCTTGGCGCCAAGATGCACCACATATATTTTTCTTCAGATTCGAACTCTTCATCTGCGCTTCAATCGAGACCCACATATGTGGCCAAAGAGATCCTGAGCCGGAAGATGGAACCCTATACCGAGAAGGCGCTGGACGGAGAGGTCAAACGAAACAAACAAAACAAACGAAACAGGTGCATACAGGTGCATCCATACAGGTTTTTTAGCTCATCGTAGTCCATTTTAGATCATTTGAGTGCATCTGAGTGCATCGAGATGTGGATTTTGTTGTCAGGTGGACATTTGGTCCCTCGGAGTGGTTTTCTTCATCATGTTCTGTGGGCATCCGCCATTCTGGGGGGAGACAGACTTTGAGATTCTCACAAAGGTCACAGACTGAGATCCAAGCTAGACCCGCATATGTTTGCGGTGAAAGCGATCGCTTTTCGGTGACATGTGAATCGAACTTGGAATGAAAAATGCAAAGCGACCTTGGTTTGTGTTTGCTCAAATGCAAACACAAACTATGGAGAATGGCAGAACAATGCAGAACTGCTGCTCAGCATGGCGCAAGGTGAAGAAGGGCATCTGGAGCTTTCAGCCTTCCACCGCCTGGAAAGGTGCGTCAAAGCAGGCGCATGGTGCCAGTATGTGCCAGTGCCAAATAGCCGTCCGGGGGCTCCTGGCACACGAGAAAAATGTTTGTCATTAAGTAGGTCAAAGGCCTTACCATTTACGATTTTCGAGTCTCCCATCTAGTTTGTTTTGAGATGTTTCAACAGATTTTGGTCATGATCTATTTTTCAACAGATTTTGGTTTAGATTGGGACTGGAGGGATCTTGAACATATTTGAGCTGATCCGGCGGAATCCGGCGGAATCCGGCGGAATCTGGCAGGGCATGGACCTGATCCAAAAGATGATCGTGCCAGTGGCCGAGCGCTACTCTGCGCAAGATGTGCCGGCCCAGCCATGCACAGCCTGCTGAATCATTGATAGTATTTACCGCTGCCACTAAACCTACTTATCTATCTGTCTATCTATCGCTAGCTAGCTATCTAGCTATCTATTTATCTAACCTAGCCTAACCTGACCTAACCTAACCTAACCTAACCTAATCTAATCTATCTATCCCCCTACCTATCTAACTATCTATCTATCTATCCATCCATCCATCCATCCATCCATCCTGTCTGTCTGTCTGTCTATCTGTCTATCTATCTATCCATCCATCCATCCATCCTGTCTGTCTGTCTGTCTATCTATCTATCTATCTTTCTATGTATCTATCTCTCTCTGAAACTACTTCTACTACCACGACTGTGCTGTGAGAGCGCTGTCACCGTTACCTGCTCGACTGCTTTCATTTCCATGGCCACAACAACCATACGGAATGCATCGTAATGCTTGTGATATTCTGTTGCTTATGCAGGTAGTCCTCACGAAAGGCAGATGGCGGAGGTGTTCAACAGGAAACAGTCTTTCTGTGCATTCCTATAATCAAGAAGGATCTCAAACAGTTTGCCTGTAGGAGTTGGGGTGTTGTTTTCAAAGGTCAACGAATTTCTTTCGATATGAGTATTCAAAAACAACATCTAGGCAGACTCATGCCAAGGTATCTCATTTGAGAGTATTTCACGTAAAGACAAAAGCATCTCACATAAAACAATGACGCGTGAGTAAAAGTGAAAAACATATTGTGATTTTTACTAACGCATGTCAGTGTTTAGTTTTTGCAGTTTTTGCGTTTTCTTGTAGCGTAAGCTGCATTTGAACTGCAAGCAGTTCTGCTGTGCGCCGATTCCAATCAGAATAATTCTGACCTGTCAAAAACAGGCAATGGACCTCAAAGGTGAAATCACTTGAAACTATGCGCGTTGCGGAAGAATTAATTCATTCAGATTTGCTTCTGATTTTTCTTGGCCACCAAGGTTAAGGTGAAACAACATTCAACAGAACGAGCTAAACAAAAGCATGAAACACATTATCACTGTGATATAGATCAGTTTACATAGAGGAAGTATCAAGAAACACGGGTTAATGAATCAATTTTCAAACTGAATAAACCTATTGATTTTAGAGGCTCAGGGTCTAGAGAGGGAAGCGCGCAAAGACAACGCAGCACCTTCGATAGAGAGACCCCAAAGAGCACCCGCCAAAACACCTGCAACGCAGCCCAGACGCCCGACATGTGCCGAGTGCGGCCGATTCATAGAGGGAAAATTGGCCTCTTTGAAAAAGCTTTGAAAAAAAATGAAAAAATTGGGAGATCGGAGCTTTGGTCGCGATTCCGGTCGGTTCCGATCGGTTCCGATCGGTTCCGATCGGTTCCGATCGGTTTGGTTGAGATTTGGCGGATGAAGCGGCACAGGAGGAGAAACCGGAGAAGGAGGAGGTAGTGCCATAGCAAGAAACCCAACCGGTGTGGGGAAGAAAGCGTTCAGGAACTCAAGGAACCGAGAAGTTTCACCATGCTTTGCCGAAAGGCATGCTGGTTTCAGCCGAGCAACGCCTTCAAACTCACGACGTCCCTTGCAATCTTCCATGGTAGCAACACATCATGGCAGATGTCAAACCCCTTTTGCAAGGAACACCACACAATAATAATTGGAATGTAGTGTTGTGGAAAGCGTTGGAATAACAATTATACATTCTAACTTACGATTTTTTCTCCCGGAAACGTTCAAGCACGCAGTGAGGAACACTTAAAACGCGGGTCATTTAACATGACGTACGGTATAACCGTGTTTTGGACACCTCGTCAAGCGCGCTGAAATTGGTGGTGCTTGTGTCCTTACATGCGAAAACACCATGTGCGGCCTTTATTCACCTTTTTAAGCGACCAAAAGACAGCAATGTCAATGGACGGGATCACACACGCACACAGACACACACACACACACAGAAAATGCCGGTAAAACGCAAATTATTGACTGTTTCATATTGTTTCTCAAACGAACACACAAAAGCATACACCATTTGAGGTTCGTTTTCGGTCCAACGTAGGTCTGACTATTTTTCCCACTGTTGCTGCGACAAGTTCAAGGGCGCCCTACTGCTGCTTTGACTGCTGCTGTTGCTTCTGGTTCTAGAGCTGCTGAGATTGTTCCCTATTCATCGCAGCGTTCTCTTTGAGGATTCACGGTGAAAATGTTTGGAAAGTTCACAAGTCGCAGAGTCTCAGAGTCTCGACAGTCACCTTGAGGTGCTGCGGCACGAGTTCTTGTTGAGTTGAATCTGCACGTTTGCGGTTCATCCCAAAGGGATGCCGGGATACCACCGGAACAACGAACCGCAACACATCGACATCGACTTGTGCGAAAACAAAATGCGAACAAATTTGACGGAGAAGAATGGACCAATGGACATGGTTTGACCATGTTTGACCATGTTTGACCAACATGCCGCAACATGCCACACTTTCATGATCTTTCATGGTTTGTTGCAACTTGGCGTATGAAACTCCATTCAGCGAAGCTGCTCGATAGCCAAAATGCAACCATGGCATCTTGCCCTTCGAGAAACATCCTAGATTGCATCCTGCATACAGTTTTTTTTAAAACATCATTTCAACTTTTGAAGAACTCCTTGCCCAACCAAAGATACCAAACAAATTAGATAAATTAGTGAACCGCCAACTGGACGCAGAATTTTTGACCACGAGTAAAACCGGTCTTTTGAAGTTCAGGGATGCTTCGCAATGGCAAGGCTTTTCACCGCTGCTTTGGGCGTGATAAGTTTGATCACTTTTCCATTGCGAAGTTGATCCTGTTTCGCTTTTGCGTTTTTTGCTCGCTCTTTCGCCTCACTTTGTGCGACTGCTCGGTGAGTCTACCACGGCGGCTTTCAGATCACTCGGCCATTCCAACTGGCGATGTGGATTCGCTGCAGATTGTTTGGCAAAACGGTGATTCCATTTGGAGTCAGAAAATTGACCGAAAGTTTTGCAAAGCCACGGGCGAGTCGCTGTTGGTGAACCGATCGCAGAGCTTAGCGTTTCCAGGGAATGGTCTCGCTGCTGCGGTGGCCACCAAAGCTGGCTTGGCCGTTGCATGGAAGGACACCGGGGGCCTCTTTTTGACGCTTGGAGAAGGTTGGAAACTCAGAAACTCAGGGTGGTAAACATTGGTAAACTCGAAACTGGAAGATTTGGATCTGGAAGGATTGGGATGGGCTCGGGAACACTTTCTTTGGCTACGGCATGCTACGGCTTGGAAACAGGGAAACCATGGAAAACCATGGAAAACCAAGGAAAACCAAGGAAAACCAAGATCCTGGGAGTCCCTGGGAGATTTGGGAGTTCGAAAAACGCCTTTTTTCCCACAGAAGACTGCGGGTCAAGTCTGAAGAGACCCAGTCTTCCATTGTGTCGTCCAAATACGCAAAAGTCTGGAGCTAGCGCTCAAAAGAAGTGAACAGACAAAAATGCAAACCGTATGATACCGTATGTATGTTTTATATTGTTTTATCTGTTTTGTTTTAATTGAACAACGAACTGCGAACAACATGCACAGGCTATACAAACTGCGACTTCAAAAAAGAAAATCAAAGCCATACGATAGCGAATACGCTTATAGTTATATAAACAATTGAGATCAATCCTTTCCTCCAAATAATAAACGCCCCCGTCCCCAATAAGAAGCACCTCGAGTAGTTTTAGATTATTAGGCCCAGGGTGTATTTTATTAGGGTGAGACGCTTCCCCTGAATAATCATACGTAGTAAAACCTCAGTTAGAAGACTAAGATTTTTGATTTTGAACCCGATCAAATTCCTCATCAACATCTAATTAAAATCTATTCAACAATTTGATTTGGACGCTTCCTCCTCATAAAATTAACACTGCACACACATCAACACATTATTTTCACAAGTAGAATTTTCCATTTCAAAATCAATCACATCCCTCATGAAAGTCTAGTTGAGATATTGCCACACATTGGATTACGAAGTTTTTCCCTCAATAATCACACCAATACTTCGGTCAATTCCTTTTGAAAGTGATGAATAGTACCAAGGAATACATTGGATACAGAATATCGGTCTTAAAATGTTCACTTCAAATTCGGTAAAATCCTTTTTGAACATTGGATACCGAATATCGGTCTTAAACCTTTCACTTCAAATTCGGTCAAGTCCCTTTTGAACATCTAATCAGCATATTGCCAATTTTTGACACAAAATTGACCCGCCGTCTAAACCGCCTTCCATTTTTTTCATAGACCATCTGGTGTGGTAGAGGAAATGGCTGCTAGGAAACATCGAGTTCAGAATCTTGGATTTTGATATTAACTTAGTTGTCTGAAAGTTAATATGACACAATATGACGATATTTTTGGGGTAAACGGTGTTATCATCATGTCATGTTGGTAGTTCAACAACCCAAAAATGAGTCCTTTTGAGTTCACCCTGAGACCGTTACAGCACTTGAGCCTCTTTGAGATTACACTCTTGGGCGCTAAAATCGACTTCAAAAGATTTTGAGGTAATTTGAGGTAATTTATGTTGCAATTGAGACAGTTTGTTTTTTGAAACATTTTGAGTGTTTTTTCTTTTTGGTTCCTGGCTATTTGGTAATGTCTTGGCATCAAGCTTGAGACATACATCTCCAATCAGCCACTTCTTTCATTCCAGCGAGCTGTTCTGAGCCAGTTAAGTTGCACGCAGAGAGTGTGCGAAACATTTTGAGATTTCAACATCCGAAAATGGCCTCTCAATTTCTCTCAAAAAATGGCCGAGAAGATTCTGTCAATTTCGGTTTGTTTCTGTAAAAACTCCTGCAGTAAAACCATGTATTGTACATATCATCGTACTACTCTGTAGCGTTGGTTCAAAACAGTGCCAGCCGCTTACCGGTCTAGTGTAATTTTACCCCATTGTCGGTTGACCTGGTAAAATACAGGTTATCAGCCGTAGTCTCACTACTTTGCTATGGGGACCCCAATTGACCATCCTCTCGCCGTTCCAGGGTCAGGTCCATCGGCTGTCGCTGTGCCCAATGTGGCCGGGGGCAACCCCGAGCCGATGGATGACGAGACGATGTTCCAACCCGTTGTAGCGTACTTTACCTTCATACAAAACAACCTGTCCCAGATCACTAGTGGGAATACCCTGCAAGTCATGAGGGAAGCTGAACAGAGGCACCTTCAGATAATGCATGGAATAGTTGACTCAATTCGAAACGAATGGTCAAGTAGGCTCGTAATGCAAGAGCAGGAGTATGAGCAAAGGCTGCAGGAGGTTGAAGGTAAGGCCATTAGTGCCGTCAACGAGGAAAGGAAACGAGGCGACGAGTTGGAGGTCAGATTGAATCAGGCTCAGGCATCGCATGACAAAAGAGTAGAGGATTTCAAGGCAGAGGCAAACACAAAGCATGATCAGAAAATTGCAGAGGAAAGGCAACGTATCACTAGTGAGTTCGAAGCTTCCTATGCACAGACAGTTGAACATGCAAAGAATGCCATAGCTGCCACAAAGAAGCAATATGAAGATCAGGCTGCAATTGATCAGGCCAGGTTCATCAGTTTGAGGACTGAGTTCGAGAACTACAAGAAGGAGATGGCCGACAAGATCAACGAGGCAGCGGCTCAGAACCTTAGCCTTCAGGACCAAATCGATGACCTTCAGGAGCAGTTAAAGCATGTTGCCAAAGCGCAGCATGCCTCCGTTCCGAAAGCATCCGTCCAGAACGCCGAGCCGGCCGCTACCACTAGCGTGCCCCACTTCAATATTGCCACTCCCAAAGCATCCGATGCACAGGCTGCCAAAGGCAGTGATGAGCCGATTCATGAGTTGAAAACGCCTGCAGTGTTGGCACAAGAAGCAAAAGCCAAGTTGGATGAGCTGCTCAAAGGTGGCAGTCCCAAGCAAAAGCCGGCTGTCGGCAACGACCAGCCTCAATTGCCAACGCAGTCAGGGTTTTTCACTCCCACTGAAGCTATCAAAACTCCCCCAAATGACTCTCCTAAGAGCGTAACCAAGCAACAGCAAGTGATGGGTCCCTCAGATCTCATTGAGTTGGTAAAAGCCTTAACCCAAAGGGAAGAAAAGGATAAGCCAAAAACTAAGGAGGCCGAAATCATCAAGCTGAACAACATGCCCGCTCCGGAGTCGTATAGGACTTGGAAGAACCATGTCAGGGATGAAGTGAAAAGCTGCTCAGATCGCCCAGATGAGGCATGGCTCTGGCTCAATGAGGTGTACGATCAAGAGTGCGCTAGAGAGGAGTTGGAGAAGAGACTCCAAGATCCTGGAAAGTTCCTCACGCTGGATACAAAGTTATCAGCAGCGCTCACGCGCTCAGCCGGAGGGGACCTCGCAACTAGGATCTTGAATTTCAAGGAGCAGCAATCCCGAAAAGGCATCCAGGTCAGGGGAAGGTATGTTCTGCTCATGTTTGAGGACTACTTCAAGACATCAGAAGAAGCAGGTAGCCTTTACAGAGTAGAAGATCTTTTGGGTGTTGTCAAAGTAGGCGATACTGTCCAGGATCTCCGAAGATTCATCAACAAGTGGGATGCTACCCTAGCTGGCATGGCTGTCACCCCCGATGATGCTGTGTTAAGGGACATCTTGTTGAGGCAGATCCGACCAAGTCAGTTGCTGAAGTATGACATCGAGATGTTTGATCGTGCACATGAGAAATCCCATGAAAAGTCTTATAGTTTTCTTCACCAATCCATGAAGAACTTGATCGACCGTGAACGATTGAGGGAGAACAGGAACCGCATCGCGGAGAAGAACAAGGCTGGGATCAAGGACACAAAGGCCGCACCCGCCAAAGGCGATGGTCGTGGTGGCCGAAAGGGCTCTCCGAGTCGTGGTAGATCTCAGGAACGAGGTGGCAAAGGTGACAAAATTTGCTATAAGTTCCAAAAGGGTACCTGTGATAAGGGGAAGAAGTGTCCATTCAAGCATGTCAAAGATGATAAATCTCGAACTCAATCACCCAGAAGAAACAAGACACGTTCACCATCAAGGGGCAACAAAGATGATAAGGGGAAGAAAATGTCCAAGGAAGAGATGGCCAAAACCCCATGTATCTATCATGCCCAGGGAAAGTGCAGACGTGGTGACAAATGTTTTTATAAGCATGATGACAAAGCTGCTGCCGCCACCAAAGACACCAAAAGGGCCAATTCACCCGCTCCCAAGAAGAAGAGCAAGGATTCCACAGCCGCTCCATGCCTGGTTCAGAAGTTTGCATGCATCGTCCGAAAACAGCCGAAGGCAACTTCGTGCTCTGATGAGTCAAGTGTCAGCATGAAGCGTCTTAGATTCCGAAAGGCCCCACATGTGATCGAGGTGAAGGCAGTTGGTCGTCAAGTCCCAGTCAAGCACCGTCCAAGAGAGTTCACTAAGGTGTACAAGACAGCTGAAGATGTTCCAGTTTCATCCAAGGTTGAACAACATGAGGCTCAGGTTCGTGCAAGACAGCTTCAAGAAACTGTGAAACTTCATGATTCAGATGTTGCACCTAGTTGTGGGTTTTGTTGTTGGAATGAGGACACACGTGACATCACATGCAAGGAGTGCAGATTCATCAGCGGTCCCAAAGCTCTTAGAGACATCAGTCGTTTTCCGTCAATTGCCACGGCCGCGCCAAAGGCAGGCGTCAGTTGGCTTGTCGACTCAGGTAGTGAATCCGATCTTGTGTCCAAGGGTATGCTGAGGGATGTTAGCGCCAAGAACTGCCGTGCAGCCGAGCATCCGATTTCCTTAGTCACAGCCAATGGTTCGACCGAGGCTAATGAGGTTGCTGATGTCAAGTTGTCCGCATTGCCAGATCCTGTGCATCCGTATGTACCTGATCATACCCCAGCTGTGCTCTCCGTAGGAACAAGATGTGTAGATCAGGGTTACAGTTTTGTATGGCCTGCCAATGGCAAACCAATCCTAGTCCGTCCAGATGACAAGGTCGTCCAGCTCAAGATCGAAGGTCATGTCCCAATCTTGGATGATAGTTGCAAGGTTTATCCCAAAGACCAATTCCAAAAGGATAAGCACCTTAGAAAGTTGTTTGCAATGCCGACCTCACGGTCGAGCTCGAAAGCCAAGCGGGACGAAGCCCAAGATGAAGAGCAATTGGACGAG